TAAATTTCGATTAATCTGATCGCACATATACTTGTCAAGGTATTTCATGTGGAAACAATGTATATAGGTGATCAGGTTATTTGAAATGTAAGTCATAAATAAATCGTATTTGTCAGAACAACGATCTTTTCATTGTTCTATCAAAAAACCAATAAGTGTTCTCGTCAAATACTGAGCGAATAGTCTTAAAGTTGTTAGTTTTATTGTCTTTGTTCATCATCACAAGATAAGTTAAGCTATTTGGTAAACAATCGTTATTACAGTTTGAACTATATTAAATTTACTGAGCAATCGAATGAGTGTACAGTTCTGTAATCATTCCAAAACCTGGATACTTCTGATTTGTAATACATATTAGACATTACTTGATATGATTTTACTGTAATGGTGTTAATATCAGACTATTCCGTGAGCAATTTTCCCCACTAAATAATACCACGAACCAAGTATTTGAAAGCAAAATTGTAGTTAACTATTTTATACCAGTTCATCAGGAGTGTACGCCACAAACCCTACCAAAAATCAAAATTAGATAATACAGATATATATTATACTAATCACTTCATTTATTTGCTGAGATGAAAGTTAATGACTAACAGATTCACATTATATTTAGAAAGTTTATGTTAAAGTGTGATGATAAATGATTGCCATCCTTGGACATTTGTTTTCACTACGGGTTTTTCATTAGAAAAACCAAATAATCTTCACAACATCATTCTATTTCGGTCAAGGTTATTTTTTGTGTGTCATTGTGTGTATGTATGTTAATCATGTGAAAATGTGATATTTGTATGATGGAAGAGTAAGTTTGTTTGTCAGTGATGTGATATGTAGACAGAATTATGTGGTAATTTGGTTAAATAATCCATGTTGGGTGAATCGTTAGGGCCTACCTTTCATTCAACATTGTGGGGTTTAGAAAATAGGATACATTTCAGCCACTAATCTTTCTTTCTAAATTAGGAAATCGTTTTTCAACTATTTTGATATTATTAACATCGACCTGATAGTCATTAAATGGGCGTTTGAACTAATATTACGGATTTGAGTGTAGATGAAATTAAATTTTTAGATAACAGTTTCTATGCATTTCAGTCTATGAGCTAAACAGTTTGTTTGTGAAGCCTACATTGTCTTTCAAGACAATATCATCAACAAATGAACCGTTAATGATATTATCTCGAAAGACTATGACTACACCATAAGGTTCAAAGAATATATACAAATACACATAATTCTTCTTTACATACTTACTTACTTATTTACTTACTTACGCCTGTTACCCGCAATGGAGCATAGGCCACCCACCAGTTTTCTCCGACCAACTCTGTCCTAGGCTTCCCTTTCCAGTTCTGTCCAAATTGTGTTCATTCTTCTCATATCTTTCTCGTCCAGCTGCGTCCTAGCTATCCACTAAATACCGTACTTCCCACCAGATGCTGACGTCTTCATAATCCAGTCGATCACCAGGAAAAAGAGAAAGGGTGAGAGTAAGAAACCTTGTCTGACACCGGTCTTAGACTCGTACGAGTTTTTCACTTGACCTCCATGCACGATTTTGCAGTTTAATCCATCATAAGAATTCCGTATGATGTTAACTATCTTCTCAGGCACACCGTAGTGTCGAAGAAGCCTCCACAGTGTTTTCCTATCCACGCTATCGAATACTTTCTCGTAGTCGATGAAGTTGATGTAGAGTGGTGAGTTCCATTCAATTGATTGTTCCACAATGATCCGTAATGTAGCAATTTGGTCAGTACATGATCGATCCTTACGAAATCCAGACTGTTGATCTCGAAGTTGGGCGTCTACGGAGTCTTTCATTCTGTTTAACAATACCCTGTTGAAGACTTTGCCTGGTATTGAGAGAAGAGTGATGCCTCTAAAGTTCTCACACTTGTCGAGATCGCCTTTCTTTGGTATTTTGATGAGGTATCCTTCTTTCCAATCTGATGGTACTTGTTCCTCATCCCAAATCTTCTTGAAGAGAATGTGAAATATTTTCGCAGTTTCTTCCACATCTGCTTTCATTGCCTCTGCTGGAATGTTGTCTGGTCCTGCTGATTTGCCACTCTTCTTTACATGCTGTAACATTATAAAATGAAAGGAATCAATCTCTTATTAACGGACTAATCTTAGTTAGACAACCACTGAAATTCAGACAGCGTTGGATGAAGATTTCATTATAAAATATAGACTCTTCTAACAGTGAGAATCCAGGACACCAGATAGGATCGAACCCAAGCACCTAACCTTCAAACCACCAATCAAATATCTGGTGGTGGTATATTTCAATCATTTCACACCCATGATATAAACCACAAGGTTCATTAATCTTCGAAAGCCTCTAAAGAAACGAAACAAATACAGCCACCTTTCAGAATAAGAGTTCTAAACCTATTTCTAGATATATATGTACGGAAATATCGGCAAAGTTCTTTCCGAAAAAAATTACTTGACGATTATTTTCAAGATTTTCATTAAATGTTACAAAAGAGCTTGCACATAAATCATAAACACTGTAAGTGGGAAACAACTGTTTGGTAAAGCAAATGAATTTTATCTTTTACTTTTTGCATAGATTTTTGTTCGTTTGAAGTAATTGCGTGAAATACTATTTAGTCATAATTTGGAAATGCTATTGAGCTTACACTACCAATTACAAATCATCTACCTATATGGTTACACTTTCAAATGTTCAGCTTACCACAGTATCTCTCCTTACCTAAAACTCTAAACAGATGGACATATGTTCAATCGTTAACAGTAACATCAATGGACTGATTTTAGTGATCGGACTTTCGAAAACCAGGAATTAATGGATAGTGGTGGTTCAACGAGAACCAGTCCGTTATGCTGACGATTAGATTTAACAGTTTGCGTAATCCACCCCCAGGAAGTAAAGAAGATGACTTTATAAGACCAAGACCTATTAAATGTTTATATACATTTAAACTATTGACTATTATTTAGTAGTACATATTTTTCTACAAAAATAGAAACCAAATGTGAGTGAAGGGCAAGTATAATATTGAAATGCTTTCATAACAATATAATAATAATGTTGACTAGGATATGGAAAAAATATTTTTCGAAAGTAGGTTGGTCAAGATTCCACTATAATTTTCAGTATATTTTTATCGTGGTTAGTATTGGAATTTAGGAATGGCTTCCTGTTTCATTTAGATAAATTATTAAACCACAATGACTCTAATGGGCCAAAAAAGTCTTCAAACTATCGTTTTTCATAGGATATTGATTCATTAAATTGTATTGCTTCATAATTACAGACATCTTTGATAAACATAATGAAGCTGTTGACTAAGTTGTTGTTGAAATTTATGAATGTGTAAATTAATTATTTAATTTACAGTAATTTAAAATTAAATTTAGATTCTACTTCAAAGACATTAATACAATAATAATATAAAAATAGATTGAAGTTAAACAATATTCATATTGGTGTGTAATTAATCAGTATCTTATCAATAAATCTTCATTTAAATATTTTAATGATCATTCTAAACAAATTGATTTTAATAGAATCATAGTGTTGATTAATAATTAAGCGTGGAAATTTCATTTCAGTGTATTTAACATCAACTAATTAATGTAGTGTAAATGCATATCTCTTAAATTTTATGCAGAGAGTAAGAACAAACTATTTATTTAAGGCATTCAGTTCTATGTAATATCTGCTTATATGCTGATAACAAATTCATCACGCGCAACTACTATAAATCATAAAAATATTAATAATAATTGTGTTATAATAGTAAAACAAATAAGTCTTGCATATAATGGCTAAGGTTATTTCTGATTGTGGATTAAAAATGATAAGTTTTATTTGTGATGTATGTTTGATATAAACATTATTGATTCATTTCAACACTTGGTGATTACTTTCATTCTCATTTATTATCGTAAAAAACTTCTTCGGAATAATGATTATCTTTGTAACGGACTCACACTATATTTTAATGAATAATCTTTTTGTTTAAGTTAATTGGCATCCATAGTTTATTCATATTTGTAAGGATATTCATCCAATATCCTAAGAGAATTATTGGTCAAACCCTATTGGTCGATTTCTATTGGTCAAAATTATGGTCGTTTTAATTCTCAAAGTCAAATACTTAAATGTTGTCTCTCATTGGTCATCCTGACTGTCAATGTCATTTCAAATGTTACCTCCTACTGATCGTCTTAACTGTCAATGCCACAGAATTCGATGCTGTTTCCTATTCGACCAAAATGTATAAATACGCATTATCTGTAACGTTTATTGACCACGACCAGGACCAGGGCTCGGTCCCGGATCCCTAGTCCGGGATCCTGATTCTCTTCTGGATTCGGACCTCGTACTTTCTGGATGCTGGTAGAATACATGTTCTACTTCATATCATGTCTTCTTATTTTTTACTAAATATGTGGGTTGGGATAATCGGATTTGAGTAGCATGTCGTGTCCCTGGATCCTCGCTTTCGTTTTCCGACTGGGTAAACTCGTAATAGTTCAAGTATATCAAGTTGACGTGTTTACGTGCAGGCGTAACAATATTCATTTTATTTTTGGAGTTTCTGTATTATTTTCTAAATGAATCAAAAAAGAAGACTGAACTAACTAGATAAACAAAAAAATTTTTACCTACTTACTGAATGATCAGTTTGCATACAAAGTAAAAAGTAAAATTGTATGTAGTAGTACATACTAAAATAGAAGTAAATAATGGTTGAAAGTCTTAAATAATAATGAATAAATGTATATCTCTAGTAAAATTATTATCTGAAATATTACTATTATAGAGATAGTAATTCCTATTGATAATCACAATGAAACATATACACCATATGACAGTGTACTTACAAATTAAATCACCTATTTCATTAATATCCATTTAAATACTTCTTTAAATGCCTATTCTTAGTTATCTAGATAAAATTAGAAAAAAAACTTTTAAAAAAAAATTTACTTATCGAATTTTTTAAATTTTCAAGATTCAACGACAAGAACAAGAATTGATTAGTGAACTACATCGATTTGTTGGTGAACGTAATATGCATCATATACAAAATCAACCAGATCAAGAACAAAATATTGAAATAGCTGAAAGTCTATTTAAAGATATAGCTAATTCATTAGATTGTCAAGATATGGAATTATTGTTAGTACGATCAAATTTATATGAAAAAATTACTGAATTAAATCAATTAGAATTAATTACAGATAAATTTGATACAGTTAAATTAGAAATTTATTTTCGAAGTGGATCTGTAAATCTTGGTTATTTAACTAATGAATCAACAATGACCAATAATAATAAAAATAATAATAATAATATGCATCATAATGCTGTTGATGATGATGATGATGACGACGATGATGACGATGACGATGATGAAGAGAATTATGAAGATTTATCAGTACCATTGGAATGTAATTCTTCATCGACCAGTAGTTCTACAACATCATCATCTATAGAATTGGCTAACAGGTAAATCATTATTTCATTGATTATTTTCTCTATTGTTGAATTAACGAAGTGAATCGTGGAAAGAATTAACAAGGAAATTACCAAACGAAAAATCTGAAAATTCATTATTTGGTTTCCTTAAAAGCTCTTCTTTAAAAGTTATTCAATCAGAGAACTGCTAAACTAAATCAGATATTGTTTAATTATTCAGATAATCTGTTAGTTAATTCATTTGTCTCAATGAATTACCTGATCCGCATATATTTAGCATAATGTATGAACTGAGTTGAAATCACTCTCTATTTGACAATCAACATGAAGAGGAACAGGTGTTCGAAAATAGCATTTTATAGAAATCTATGTAGGCTTTGATCTAAATTTTGATATTTTTTTCATCATATAAAACTGAGTCTTTTTATTGGCGTTTTAAGGAACTTCGAACCATCGTGCTATGCTGAACGTTTCGTTGCAAACGAACTCAGATATACAAAAAACAGAAATTTATATCAAAAAAATTTGAAGTTATCACTGTTACAAATTGAGTTTATCTGAGAAACCACCAAAAGTTTTAGAGCACTGGATGATTATTCTATCCTATTTACAAACATAACAACAGAGAGATATCGCAACTTCAACATGAGGACATTTTTGGTTCACTAGATATGATGGTTGTGAAGAATATATGGAAATTTTCCTCAAATATATATCAGTGAATTCATTCTGGTTCATGTTATCTGTGATATTTACACATTAAAATTTTAATCTGAATTCAACGGCTACTTTAATTGATAGGATAAAATTTGGTCAATCTTTGAAGTAACTAATAAATGGTATAAGGTAGCCTGATTTGTGGGAAACCAAGGGAAGTTATGTCTACGTCAAATTGTCAAGACTAAACTACATATTTAAATAAGCTTATTGAAAACTGAGAAGAATAACAACTAAAATAATGCAGCTTGAAAAAGATAATTACATGGTTGAAATGAAGGTCATCTGTGTAGAACTACTGTAATATTTAATGAAAGCTTGATGTAAACTGTGCAAAAGAAATTCACTTATTATCCGATTAGATTTTAGAATAGTATCAACACGATAATAAATTGAAAGATTCTCGTGTTAGGTTAGTTGATAGTGAACTACTGAAGACTTTAGGCATCTCGTATTCGTTTCGAGTAAAAGTTATTTTCCAATTATACGAAATCTTTCTAGATTTATCCAATTTAACGACATTCTCTTTATATTTTGTTGATTTAATATAGACCATGCATAAATTCTACAGCTTGCCAAACAGATATAAGCCTAACAGATGAAAATGATGAAAATAATTTAACTATTCAAGAGTTTCAACAACCAACTAAACAATTTCGTACACGTGCATGCAATACGGAGTTAATACCAATGATAAATCAAGAAACAAATACACGTCCACGTGGTATTCATACAATAATCACATTTTCGGATATTTCTTTAAATGCAACGTCTGAAGAATTCCTGGCAAAACTTGATCAAGAAAAAATAAATTTAAATGAAATGGATAATCTAACTAGAGCAAGGATACGTCGTAAACTTCATGAACGTTTTAATACAGTTGATCAAATTTCAAATGGTGCCAGTAGTAACGGTATTTCATGCAATACATTACATACGCCACTGCATTTTGGATCAAATGGGACGTCACCAGCCTCAACAGTTCAATCAACAACTGTTAATAACAATAATACTTATAATCATAACGATATTCATTCAAGACGTTACAGCTCTTATGATAAACGTTTTCATTATTAAATACGATTTTCGTTATTTGAAATATGCATTCACAGTACAGTATTTCAATGTTTCTTTAATTAACGTCTCATTAAATTCATGGACACTCGTATACAAGTGACAATAAATTATGATATAGTATACTGGTTTATCATTGTTTAACAGTTTCTGTTACATTAGAAAACACGCAAGTCTATAAGAACTATTGGAAGTTTGTTTCATGTAAGCACTTGTTACTATTTTGAGCCGTCTGTCGCTGCGTTTTGAATCCTTAAACAACCGATGAAAGAGATCTTTAATCTTATTAATTGGTTGAGAGTCGCCTATAATGTTAACTCTTGCCAAAAGATATTCTAGTTCATCTGGCTACATTTATTGCTTATTTGAATAGGGATATATTTTACATACCTGATGGAAGCAGTTGCCTACTATCTGTCAAATCAGTAGCATCAACGGTCAAACTAACCCTGTGATGTGTTATTGCTGATCTCTTTCAATGTCAATAAATGTTTTTCTAATGACCTTTCTATAAACAAAGAAAATCTATAAAGATTTAATAGCAGGCGATGACGATATAACGTTAAAAATCACTATAAGGAACAAATCTAAAATTAGCTCCCCACGTACATGTATCTGAGACCATCAACATGCCACAGGATCATTATCACTACCCACTTGATAGGCTTTCCAAACCTATACAGTAGAATCAGATAAAATTTAGGTTTTCGTAGCTCAGAAATGATAGGAACTTCGCATTTTTATGTTCATCAAACCAGAATGATTGTATGTTTGCTTTCATGTTTACAGTCATAATTTCCTCAGACTGTGTCGTAGTTTAGAATGGTTAGAGCTTTGCTTATGTTATGTGTAGTGGATTCACCGTTTCACGTTTTCCTTTTACAACGATACCGTCCTCAGATAACAGTTACCTTAATATTAATGTTGTATCACCTCTCGGTTAGCATTCTTGATCCTCTATTAATTTTTTGAGTGACGGTGATTCTTACATGAAATAATAAATTCGTTCAATATTATTGATGGCCTAATCCCAATTACAACATAAGACAGTTGCGTGCATTCCTGTTTTCACTTCTTTTTTAAATGATGGCCTATTCTTGACTATTAGAGTAATTATAAGATAGGTTTAGAAATAACTAGTTTGTAAATTACATACAATACTACTACTTCTATCCATCATACTTATGTAGACACCAAATTATTTCTCTCCCATCTAAAACTGGGAATTTCGCATAACCCTAAAGAAATAACCATTAAGATCACCTGCTGATCCAATTAAATTTCTTTGTATTTTCTGCCACTGGTTGTTTATTGAAAGGTTTCCGGTAGGTGATGACAGAATATTGGAAACTAAAAGCATTTTATCTAGATTGATCCGTGGCTGCCAGGCTGGTCTGATATTATTAATCACATTTTTTATTCACCCTGTCTTTGTCAACGTCCAACTATTGGTTAATGACATCAATATTACTTCAGTAAATATCTCAACATGAAACAAGAAAAACGTCAAGGTGCTTTCATTTAGGGAATATACAGTCAACACGTTTCTACTGAAAACTTTGTTTCGATTATCATCTAAAGTGATAACATCGATAGCTTTGAATACTTAGTCGTATTCTATTTCATCGGTACAGCAGACATGCTCGTTCACGAGAAGGGCATTAATTCACGAAGTTTGGTATGGATACCTGTAAAGACTGCAGAAAAAAAAACAGAATTTTAGATGTGATTTAAAACTTTCTTAATAGTATTTCATTAAATTCTAGATAATACACTGTTTTAAGGGTGTTTATCTATGTTGGTGTTGTTGTTAGATGAAAACGTTTGGTTTCTGTCAGAATTTGTTTTGATGTCAACTAGTTGCACTGTTGTTGAGCTAACAAAATTGATCTTGTTCTAATACTGCTTACCATCTTCATACATAGCTTCAAGTAAAACTTGAGACGCTCTATTATCAAAAATCTAGTGAATAAGACAGAAACATATTCTAAATAACTGTTCTTGACAAACTAGGGACGTTATCCTCTACTTTAATCCGTCAAGCGTACAGCGAAAGCATATTGGTCTAGCAAACTACGATATATATTTTTTAGTCGAAACCGAGGTAGTTAGTGAAGTGTTGTACGATGCCGAACAAATATTCAGGAGTCAAGATAATGAATGAAAAGACTGATGATTATTTCAAAATACCCGTATCTGTTTTCCCTTGTCGAAGGGTAACCCTGAGAATATTTTAATAATCTGCTCATACCGTTCACCACATAATTGTGGATATAAATGGTGGTAGTCGATTTTAGTAAACATTTATACGAATTCCATGACTTACGAAGAGAATATAGGAATATAATCCGTGCATAAAATAGATAAACATATAGCTGCGAATTCCTAATGAGATATTTTTTATCTTATTAGTGATTCACTAATTGAACTTGTTCACCATTTTTGGCTGCTACAGTGTTGTTTAAAGCACTATAAATTTGAATGGAAAGATTAAAAAAGCAAGGTTACACAAAGGGTGGAACTCTAGGTTATGGTCACATGACATTTCCACACATGCAGGTATCAAGAGGTCTTACACAAACTACGATTGAAAGCTTGGAAACAAAACGGAGCCTTGTAACTTCTTTGATTAGGCACCTTGATTCAAGACTGCAAAGTCAGTAACCAGAAATTTCATTGTCGTCATGAACCTAAACCACTGTTCTCCTAACTGCCTGCTGTCATAAAGTCTGATAAGGAAAACAGTACCAGTTGTCATTTCGGATCTGAACGTGTCCGGAAAAGTTGTAAGGCAGCAGAATTCAGAACAGCAACCACTCAAATACGGCGTAGTTACCTTATTGAACGGGGGGTTTCGCTTTAATTCCATAGTTATAAGTATTCATTCTATAGCTCTAAAAGAAAAAGTGACATTCTTTAACACTAGTGCATAAAGGACAAGTATAAGTTTCTAACAAAAAGTAACTGAAGCGCAATTGTCTTCATTTATAACCTCATGTTGTCCGTAGTTTTTTCATCAATCTGGGGTTTGTGGAAGTAAATAAATTCCCGAAAATTGCGCATAAGTGTGAAGTTTGCACGCGACAGTGATACTTTGGTAAATTGTTATTCCGTGCGTTAATAGAAATTGGGAGTATAATGCCTTCGTTTATGGCCACGTAGTTCTTCCTGTATTCAGTACTGGTCTATGCATGAGCTCTAGAGTACGAACACCCCTAGGTGTTACCAGTCAGTATATGGAACACAGTGACTCCTGATTATCCCACTAAGTCTTTAAAATTGATGCTGGACTTTTGAGTTTCACCTGATACGCCTGTTGCCGAAAGCGTTTAGTGAAGAACATGAAAAGATTAAAGTTAGGATCACCGTTTAAAAAGAGGCTTCTGACGGTAGCGTTTTTAAGACTGCAACCGTAGCAACATTGAATTATTTTGGGCAAAACGTTTTGATACTGAGATTTGTGCACTTCTGGCCTCTGGGTAAAACCAGATTTCAGATGAAATTCATACATTATTAATTTTCGTGATGGAACTGCCATTTTATTATTAGGTGCACTAATTTGCTGTGTAAACGGTTATAACAGTTGTTAAAGCTACTAAAACTGCTGTCAGCATTAATACAATGTCTACTGGTCATCTCAATAAATACCATGATATAACGTGAAATCCGTAGAAACAACTTGAAGTAACTGGTTCATACAGAGTATTCCTTAGTATGTTAGTGATAAAGACGTCATCGTAAAGGAAGGTACTCTATTCGCAATCTCCTGCTTGGAATCTCATCACTTATACACTGAGGAGTTTGCTTGTGTCGATGAATGGATGTGAAACTCTGTCAGGTTCTCTTTTACCCTGAGGTATATGAATGAGACTGATTGTGATAAATATAATAAGGACGACCATTTTAGTGAGTCATTGAAAAACACCGCTTGAAAACTATAACGTAATGATATCTTTATCTTAGAGAAATCAAACCAACAAAAGATAAGTTTCGCTGGAAACCCATGTGATAGAGAGAATAATTCCATAGAAAATAGATTCTTTATTTCGGTAGAGTAACTGTATTTATTTAGGAATGTGGTGTGAGCTAGTAGGCGGAGTGGCAATCAGACGCTGTTACATCTAATCTGTATCATTACGAAGAAGGGATTCCTAGCCGTTGACTTCCTGGATCTGATATCTTGGTAAAAATGCAATTACAGACATCCAATTTCTTTATAAACCTGGTGCTATAGGATCAGTAAGTTCGGATAACTAGTTGCGACAGTATTTGATCTGGTAGACAAGAAGCCTTACTCGCTAGGATACTTCCACCGCGAATAATTGCTGATGAAGATTTAAGTTTTATTAATCGTTTAGTCCTATAGTTTTCTAACTTTTCCATCCACTACAGGTTTTATGCAGCCTCACCCTCCGGTCACTGAAACAGAAATTACTTTTGGGAATATAAAGACACTGCAAAGGCAGAGCAGTTTATAAGAAGCAATGAACGTACTTTAAGAAAACCCTGACATGATAGTCTAGCATAGCAAATATGATTCTGCGTTATTCCTGACTTTTGAAGTATTCAAGTCTTAAGCGCCTATTAAAAATTCTTCACAGTGATTTAGAGGAAATTCAACTTTCGCCTGGGCATTCAAAATGACATCTGATTATCCATAACGACTATTATTACCATTATTTCTTGACTCGCATATCTGTATTTGGAGACACCAGGAGTCGATTAATAATAAACTGGAAAAAATAACATCAAAGTTCTCATCATTACATCCGCAACTATGTGAAGCTATTTGGAGACAGAGCACTTTTGTTTAGTTTTATCAATCATTTAGGTCATTCGCATTTGAATAGTTCAATGTTTGGGTTCTCTGTGGAGTTAAACCTTCCTGATGTACCGTAGGTTTCTACTTCCTGTCAACTTATTTCAGGAAGATCATCATTTGATATATGCTTAAGATTTATTATTTGTTGTTGCTGTTTGTTATTTTGTGTAGCTGATGAATTTTTCTAAGCACCATGTATCATTTAGTACATAACCCACAGTGCATTATCATTTGACTTCGTAGTCCTAAAGACAACTCTCCAGTATCTGACTGATTGTTATTGCCGAAAGTACAATCAGGAAAAACATATAACCTTTATTTTACATGTCCTTCCGCTAAGTTTTCTCAAATTTGATTTGTTTTCTAAGCATATTGACTTTTTCTTTTGTTGTGAATGAATATATTTGATGGCTTTTTATCATTTAAACCAACCCTATCAGTTATTGTCATCTCAGTAATCTGAAAATCCATACTAAGTAGGTACATATCAATTCCATTTATTAAACCGAGTAGTTATCGTTATTCTGAGACATTAATACATTAGTAAGTTGTAAAGTTTTAAGAATCCCCCGGTTGAGCATTTCGTATGATATGTCGGTAGCTTTGTCTTCATCTTTTAGTTGCAAATCGTGTCATACCGACTCCATTTAATTCACCTTATGTTCAATCCTATGAATTATTTTAAGACCAAATTTAAAAAAGTCGTTTTTGTAGTGTTACAACGTCAAACTTTTGTGTCTAGCATTCTTTTTGTTAACAAAGCTCTAATAGTACGGTCCTCAAGGCAGCTCACTTGGCAGAAACTGTAAATTCTCTGCGTGCGATTATAATGACCTCCAGAGTAGTAGTGGCAGAATAACCACATGAATTTTAATCACGACAGCGAAATATACCTTTTGACAAGGTGGTGCATAAATATATGGTCATACCATGAGTAGATAAATGATATTACCCACATTTATCGTTGTTATGTACGGGAAAATGATGTGTATGCTGCTCAGTCAGTCATTCATTTACACCGTAGAACTTCATACGTAGGTACATCAGTTACTGCATCATTAATACCGCATTATCACAGTTCGAATCTCATAGTGGTAGAGATAGTGGAAGTATTAGCGGTAATGGAGATTAGGGTTCGAAGATATTATGCAAGAAGTATAATGAACTTAAAAAGAAAGATAAAGGCGATGAGGAATTCAGAAGATTAGGATTTAAGAGAACACTGAGTGTGTGCACCTGTGCCATTGCAAACGATTTTGAGACATGTTGTTCAAGGTCTCGGTTACCATCATCTTGCGGACTTCAACCAGGCGCTAGTCTACACCTACCAACATGGCTCAGTCCACTTGTCAGTCACTTTGTGGATTTGTGCCATGTTTTGGTTTGGCCGTCCCTAGCTTTCTTCAAACCTCCGAAACTTCAAAACATCGCTCGTCAAGGCAGTCAGTGGCATACGTAACACATGTCCCAGCCACCTCTACTGATGAAGATTCCCTACTTCATTTATTGATTTGCCATCCCTACCTAGTACTCGTTTCCTAACTATACAGTCGCTTACTCGGCTGTCTCAGGACATACGAGCGATGCTTCAAAGACATATATAATCGAATAATAATAACCTTTGAATATCCTCATCTCTTACCGGCGACGCTTCACAGCCATATAGTAGGACGGAGCGGGTTACTGCGCAATACACTCGCTGTTTGGTTAGCAAACGGATATCGCGCCGAAGCTACGAGTGACGCAAATCGGCAAATGCCAATCGAGTATTCTGCAATCGTGCTGTGATTTCATCAGACACCAGGCCATCGTCACTGGTGAGACTCCCGAGATAAGTGAGGCGATCGACACGCTCAACTAATTCACTCCGTATCACTAGTTCAGGTGCTAATACAAGTCAATCCCGAAGTAACCTTTTGCATTTCGAGAGGGAGAACCGCATCCTGAACACGTTTGCATTGTCGCTTAGGGTTGTCAGAAGACGGCATTCTCTCAGCGTCTTCACCAAATAGTACTATGTTGTAGGCATATTGTAAGTAACAAGCGTATCTCCTGGTAAAAGGTCCACCTCTGGAAATTCAAACGAACGTAAAGTTAATTCTAAAAGCATGTCTACGACAAAGTCAGACAGGAATGGAGAGAGTGGACATCCGTGACGTAAAGAATTCCGATGACAGTTCGCCATAGGCTCTCACTTTACCGATTGTGATCAAGCAGAGAGCTCGTGTAAGGTTACTGCACTTTGGTACTGCTTCCATTAACAGACACTGCCATAGAACTTTACGATCGACAAAGTCAAATGCCGCTTAAGGTCGAGAAATACTACTATTTTGGGGCGTCAGAACGTGTTTCTTTGTTCTAGGACCTGACTTACTGTTAATATCTGGTCTACGCAGACAGACAGACAGATACAACATAGAACTTCGTACGTATGTACATCAGTTCAGGTTGCCATACCGCATTAATACAAAGACGCAACTGTCAGTTCAAATCCAATAGTGGTAGCGATAGTAGAAGTATTAGCAATGATGGACATAAGGGTATAATTCAGTGAGGTACCTTTAGAGAGAGAAAGATAGAGATGACGAGGAATTCAGAAGGTCCAAGTCGAAGACCAGCTTGGTTTCTTTTAGTCTGTCCTTCACGAGCTTTAGTTAGGTGTCCGAGTGTTGTTGATGTCAATATTTCAGATAGTATATTCGTTAAACTGATTCCTCTGTGATTGTCGCTACAGGATTTCTGTCCTTTTTTGACTGGGACAACCAGTGATTGAGGCCAATCAGGTAGGTTTATGCTCAGTTCCTAGATTCTAACAGCTAAAACTGGACCACCATTCTTAAATATCTCAGGGGCCAACCTATCAGGACCCGCTGCCCTCCCTCGCTTCAGATTTCTTATAGCCTTTTCAAGTTCATGAGGACTCGGAGGACTTACATCGATTTGCCGTCCATGATGACTGGAGATCGTGGGCAACCGAAGTGTGACTGAAGGCCAGTTGAACTGATCTCTGAAGTGTTCTGCCCATCGATCCAATCTCCTGGATTGAGAATGAATCATAAGGCCATCCCTTTGTGCGATAGTTTCGTTAACAGATGGATTTCTAATACTGGTTTCCTTGTAAGTCTGAATGGTTGTCTACCGTTACCTATCGCCGCTGCCTTTTCCATCTCCCTCGCTTTCGCTACCCACCACTGTTCTCGATCATTGCTTCGGCTTTTTATCCACTTGCGCTTAAGCTGACTTCGCTTTTCATGCGGAATGAGTTTACGAGCATCTATTCGTTCGGTAGATGCTACTGAGATCCACGGCTTCTTCCTCGCCTTACGGTTTAACCTACTAGCATAAATCACTGCTGTTTCCACAGCTTTTTGGATATCATTCCAAGCTTCCCCCGGATGGGAAACATTTACATGGCCGCCTAACTGCTTTTCTAATTGTTCCTGAAATATATGCTTAGTTGTCGTCAAGTTGGATCCTTATAGGTTTTCTTCCAGCGTCTTTCCTACGTCCAGTAGGCAGCAAACAAATACGCGTTCGCACTAGAGCGTGGTCTGGATCTAAACATGTGCTGCAAAACAGGCGACAGTCTTCTGTCGATCCTTTCCATCGGCGGCTGGTAGCGATGTGATCTAGTTGAGTCCAGCGTTGGTTATCATGTCACAGATGAATTCAACTTCTGCTCATCCCATGTTTCTCTCTTATCATACAAGTGATCTAACCTCCCTTGGTTAATTTTTATGTGTTGACCTTCGGAATACCCCACAAACCTCACCACTTGCTATGGGAAATTGCACATCGTTGCTTACCGATTACAAATCATTGTCTGTGAGTAGTTAGTTGCGTTGAAATTCAACTTTTTAATTTTGCATTACTAAACGTGATTGTCTTTTTATGGTGACTAATCGTAAGACGTTCTGAGTCAAAATACATAAAATGCGTTCAAGTAGTGTGTCATGAATTTACTCGTCTGACAATTTCACTATTTTGAAAATAGTCACTGACAAGTAGACTGAGCCGTGTTAGTAGGTGAAGACTTTATGATTGTGGTCCGCGAGATGTTAGTAACCGATGGTTAGAGACCCTGAATTATGGCTCGGAATCTTTTGCAATGGCGCAGGTGCATCCATTATTTGTGTTCTCCCAAATTCTACTCTAGACTCTTCATGACCTTCATCTTTCTCGTTTCAAATCTATTTCACTGGATTATGCTTCTCGAATGTCTTCAAACCCTAATCTTTTTCATTACCGCTAAAACTTACTACCTCATCTACTATCAGATTTGAATCGACAATTACTCTTCTGTGCTAATGTGGTATGGCAACTTGAACTGATGTATGTACGTACGATGTTCTACGTTGTTGCTGACTTGTGTTGAAACAATCTACTCGATTAATACCATTCTCTAGTTTAAATTCCATATGCATGAGTGTTTGTTTACTAGCTGCTATTATATAACCGAGTATTTTAATGCGTTTTTGCATATAGGTAATTCATCGTTTGTATTATTGGAGTCATTCAAAATTACGAATTTTCTACAGAATGTGTACTTTGGAGAAGCGTGATCTGTCGTCGACATTCACGCATTCGGTAGATATCGTCAATTCAACAATTTCTCAGGCTACATTAATGGATCGACAAAATAAGTTCCATTCAGTCAAGAACAGTATATCTAGTTTCCACTCTTTCACCAACTTTAAAAACAGAAAATCATGTAAAAACACACCAAGTTCTGTTTACAGGTTGAGAATCCTCAGACGCTGTGGTCAACACTTGAAACGGTTAATTCGGTAAGGCTATCATGTTTTCATCCACTTTTAGAATAAATGATAATGAAATTAGGTCTAGGTTTATCTATTTTGCCTGTTCGTTAAAAATTTTTACACAAGAATTACTTATGGATAAAATTGCTTTATATTCCGTTACGAATTGTTCAAATAGTAGGCCGTGTTAACACTGTTCGGTTCACCTTTCCATCGGTTTTAGGCTCTTTGCTGTTTATCCTGTTACTTGTATCATTATTATTCTCAGCAGATAAAGCGATGTTAAAATTGTTGGTGTTTTAACTATAGTATTCACTCTGATCGCTTTGTCTAATGTAAACAGAGAACTTTCTTACTGCCGAGACCCAACACTATTTTTTCTTACCTCATTCGCTAGGTACTTAGGTATAAGTTACACTGCAGGTGTGACGGCCACTGATACTACCTGGTTGCCTAAACTGAAGTAGGTGAGGCAGAGTTTAAACCTGGTACTTAACAGCTTTAGCGCTAAATCATCATACTAGCGGATGTTTGAAACCAAATGCTGAATGCACTCCAATCATATTCCCAGGCCCTTCATTAGCCTACAACATCAATCCTATGGTCTTTTGATTTTAAAATAATCGTATCATTGGTTTTAATTTTTTACCATCATCTTATAATGCAATATGATTGATAACTCAGCACTATCAGCTAATCCCAATATTATTATTACACTTGATGATGCAATTATTGAAAAGTCGCAACGCAGTGAGTAAAACACAACATAATCACCACTAGGGAGATGAATATAATTAATATACAATATTAAAATCGCTTCGAGTAAATCCCAATACCTCTCCACTTAATAATATTTAGTGTTCATTTTCTGTGCATGACAAAATAAGAAGGCGTCTTAGATCGTGTAACTTATCTTTAGAGACTGTCATTTAAAACCAATGGATTCTGAATCCAAATCTTACTTGAACTATTTTTCATACACTGAATCGTATATACAAGTTGACGTATTTCAGATACATGAGTAAACACTCAACCAAAATCCTGTCCAACCAATATGATAAGAGCATACCATTTTATGCTACCTATACATTTAACTTGTTTCATGAGTACAGTTCTATATGAAACAACACTTTGATGATTAGTTCTTGTAACAAACCAGTTCGTTTCCAATCCTAGTTGTTACTTTACAAAAATTATTGTTCTGTTTTATTTGAGTTGGTTTAAGGTACTAGTATTATTTGGGGTAGTGATTAACGATAAAATCTAAGATGCACGTCTCATCCCATTTCTGACTTTGAATGAACCTAACTTCAACAGTGTCATTGGACCAGGTGGAACGTAAACACCAGCACTTATCACCTTAAATACTAAATTCGGAGGCTCTCTTTTAAACATCGCTGCCAGTAAAATCGGTTCCTTCGCATGCATTATTTGATAGAATTTATGAAGCAGTTTCGCAGTAATTTTGTCTAATTCTTTCATATTCATTCTATTTCTTATCGTATCTTATATATTTCAGAGATGAAACCATACTGCTCTGTATTTTTCAGATACATTAATTTTATAGTGATCTGATGTGTGTGTATGTGTAGGAATAGATCTTTATTCGAAACACTTCACTATTATTCGACTAAATATTATCGAATCAGTATACAGTGGAGCTTATTTCCCCTCATTCCTAATATGTATTAGTATTTCATCCGTCTCTTACTGTCTCGGAAATTGTCATTCCATATTTCTATTGTAGACAAACGTCTTGAACTGTCTAATGCTAATGCCTGTACATATGCTTAAACATATTTCAAAATTATGGCAGAAAACCTTTTTTGTACCATGGTTAGAGAGATGAATGAGTCAGCTGCTTTTCAAACGTGTTTTTCATCCTACCCATCATTAATTTTTGCTTTATTATTTTTTTAACGATCAGCATTATTTGTTATTATTGAATAATCAACATTTGGATACATATTGTTTTTCATAGTCTAACCCGTCTGTCTTTAAAATGATTTGCTGTTTGTCAAGGTCATCTCTCTCATATATCGCTTTTCTACTTATAGATTTCCTATGAATTAATTCTTACCCACCAATCAATAATTTCTCTATATATGCATAAATAGATGTATATCTGTAATCGATTAAATGAGAGAGAGAGAGAGAGAGATTAATCATATGTATGCATAATTTTCTGTAAGAGGTCTTTGTGTTTATGTGTGCATGTGCGTACGTATTCACAACATCCTATTGAATACTGAGCAGCGGTAGAAAATTTTGATGTACAGACTAATTAGCAGTGTTGCATAGAAAACATCTGTTTCTTTGTGTCAGTTCTGATTTATTGATCATGATCAAATGAATTTTTGACTGACTGACTGGTCCATTTCGAATAATAAATTGTTTCAGTGCAGTTACTCGTTACTTGTTCATTCACTCACTCACTCACCTACCTCATTGTTTTTTTTGTTGATTTTTTTTGGTAATAACCAATAGTTCTTTGTTGAATATAATAATATCGTATTTTCGAATTCTAAATCAGACAAGTGTGCTAGTTTTCTGTCCAATAGATAAATATGATACAATTGAAAGCCAATATTTTTCAATTTTGTGGATTAATTAAAACATGTGTTAATTCACTCACTATATATTGAATCAGACACCAACTATTAATCGGTATTTTCTACTTCCCTATAATTTGTGGGAACCTAACACGTGTTCACTGGTTCAAGTTTCCACGCTACATCAGTACAGCGCAATGTCGTACTAGTAGTTGTAACAGTATGAGTGGCAACACAACATCAACTTCAGTAAATACAGATTTTCGAAGAAAAATTGCATGAAACAGTTTGAAAACTCATAACCTAGAAGAAAACAAACATTGAGTACATGCTGGTTGGATCTAGTCGACAGGAACCCTGAACCTAGGTTTCGTGCTGTTTAGCAGTTGTCAGCAAGGTGTATTTGTAATCCTAAGGAAATCGACACTCCCTAACTAATTGGATTTCGTGCAATCCAGTTTCTTAGTTTGAAGTCTATTCTACTGAGCTATTCGGGCTGCAACTGACGTCCTGTAGAACTTAACTATTGATCTTTAATATTGCTTTAGATATATAGTCGAACAATAAAAACTTGTGAGTTTATAAACAAACATTTATTTCGCCAAACTTCTGTCACTCTTTATGGAACATAGGGTGCCGACTACCAATCCCCACTCTACTCTACCATGGGTTCTACCTTCCTGTTGTTGCCAAATCTTATTCATTTTTTGATGTCTACCTCCATTTCCCGTCATGTTGTGTTTTTGGTTTTCATCTTTTCCTTTCGCCTTTACAATTATAAGTTTGGGCTTGCTTTGTGATGCAGTTCGATTACTCCCAGCGTTTTTCTCCAACTTACTCTCCAGCTGGAAGCAGATTGGTTCTCCACGATATAAGGTTATTGCTAATCGTTTCCCACCAACGCTTATGGAGCATCTTATGTAGACAGTTGCTTATAAATACCTGTATTTTTTATAATGGTTGAAGCCATTCGCTAAGTTTTAGCTCCGTACGATAGAATTGTCTTAACGTTTGAATTGAAAATCTGAGTTTGGTTTTGGCTGACAATCTTTTTAAGTTCTGAATGTTCTTTAATTGTAGGAATATTTCCCTTGCAGTATCAGTTCATGTCCATATCTTACTTTACTCATACATATATGTGTTGATCAATTCCTACTAGCTTAAAATATGACTTAATTGTCTTGAAAATTTAAACACGACTGATAAATGAATTCGCATCAATCAATCAAATAAAATGGTCTACCCCAATAACACCGTATGTACACGGGTTCTAGTTTCCACTTCATCTCTTCATCACAATGCGATAAAATTATCATCATAATACATACCTAAGCATTAGAAGTAATATCAGCGATATTAAAAAAAAGATTCAGACACAGAATTTGATTACTCAAGAAGAATAAATAAATTTACACAATAAAATACACAAAATAATCTGCACCTGTAACTGCAATTAATTAAATGAATTTTCGATGGTATCACCTTCTCCCAGTTCATTTATTGATCACTAAATTTTGTGTACTAATGCACTACTTATCGAGCTCAGTTACAATACATAAGTTTCTTTGATGAAAGTTGGTCCGGAAACCTACAAATTCAGGGCGAAATGCTCTAATCACTAAGCCATTGCGATAAAAGTCAACTTCACTGACAAACAAAACAGAGTTAAGATAACGGCTCTTTGGATCTGTTATGAACGTTAGATCCCCAGAACTCACTTAATAAAGGTCCTAATTTTGGATTTTATGTTTTTGAGCATGGACTGATCAGTTGACCTTGAAATTACATTCCCCACCCGGAGAATCCTCGACTGTCATTGGTTGATGTGTTATTTTAGTACGCTATTTTTGTGGTTCTATCTTGTATAAATAAACTTGATTTGTGTGCTTGTCAACCTCATATTTTCTGGGTGCTTGTACAATACACTTTCTACGTCTTGTCAAGACTTCCTCTACTCACTGGGACGCTTGGATTAGAGTAGCCTATCGTGTTACTGGATCATTTATCTTCGCTTTCGTTCACCGACTAAGGTGAACTCTTAATAGTAAGCATATCAATAGACGAGTATAACAGAATCTTCAGAAGAAATTCAAAACATAAAAGCAAAAGATCTTATATCTTACTAAAAGTTAATTACTAAATAGATGAAACCAAAACTCTTCTTTTTTATATTGGTTGAATCTGGATTAGCTGGAAGTCGGTCATGCTTTCCCAAAGTCATTTTAAGAGACTGTAGTAGTTGTCAGTAAAGCATACTTTCTTCACCACTACTTCATTTATTGTATTGTTGACAATGAACTGTCTTTTTATTTCTTTGATTATTGGTTATTTTTTACTTTGCCTTTAACAATCTTTCGTCTATCATGACTATACACATAAAATTCAATTTATTATTTTTTTATTCCGTATATAATTAATTGTTATTTCTTTCTTTTAATAGACAAAAAATTAATACTGATGAAACTGTTATTGAAACTACTGATCAGATCGGTCATAATGATTGTACAATGTCAACGAATTCTTGTCGAACTATCACTAGACTAAATGATCCCTCTTCAATATGCTTGCATCCATGTAATAAGAAAAATTGTATTCGTATGAAAATTTTAAAAGATTTACAAAATCAAGTAAGATACATTGATGCATGTTTATTTTTTTTTTTGCATGAATCCATTAATGTGCAAGTGATTCATCGCGTTTATCCATTGAAATAATAATTGTAACAAACACATAATACAGTCTGTGAAAGTCTTATTGATTGAGTCATTTCAATGAATATAAATCAATCGATTTTCTATAATAATTTCTATTGAAAACTTAATGAAATAAACAGCCTATTGGCGCTCATCTCTCTTAACATTCCTACATGTTTTTCAGTACTTAACACACATCTGTCTCACTTGATCACTGACTTCAAGAATGTACAACTGGTACATTGATTTGCTCCTACTTTGTGATTCGTTTTTGGAAAGTATTAATTTTCCTAGAAAAATCCTATATTTTCGATAATAAATGATGATTTTTTAGAAAAATAGCCAAATAAAAATTTGCGTATGTAATTTTGAACTATTGACTTTATTCTTCTGAACCACTGAATATATATTTCTACAACAGTGCAAGTATTACTCAAAGACACTCATAAAAATCTCTCAAAGTTTTATGTATTAATAGTCTTGTCTGTTTTCTATCTTTTCAATATGACGAGTTAAGATAACCTATTCACTGATACGGACGTTTTGATGTAAATTTCAAATGTGGAGTGTGGTTTAGTGGTTAAAGCGTTCGATATTTAGCTAGAAGTGTTTGTAGAAATTTTTCCGTAAACTCTAAATTATCAATTTTTGCTCATGATATAGGGTATTGTTTTAAGATTCCACATTACAGTTCAGAATGTGAGCACTTTGTCCAGGTTATTTTCTATACATACAATCATTAATTTAGTTTTCTTTCATTCTAGCGATTATTAATAACTTCACTGATTATTGCCTGTTCCAATCTCATAATGTTTCCTTATAGGTAAGACAGTAAACTCGCTATTTCATTAGCTGTTGTCGGCTGGCGCTATCATTATTAAAATATCTTATTGTAGTTATGTATATCATAATTCACAGTTGGTTCCCATTTAACTTTTATTCTTTCTTTTTCCTCTAGCAAAATAAATTATCTCAAGAAATCAGTCAATTAAAACAACAATTTTTGGAAATTCAAAGTGTTTTAGTATCTATTCAAAACATTCTCATTAATCGAATTCGTCTACAGTCTTCATGTACAACAACAACTACTACAACTACAACATCTTCTACGTTCTCACATCCTCTAAATTCATCCATTTATTTGCATAACAATAAAAATAACATGTCTATATTTTCACCGATTATTCCTATGTTAAATAACGAATTCTCTACTATTGATATTGGTGCAGTTAATTTTCCTTTGAACAATGAACTTATACATAATCCATTATCTACACCAGACAATTTTAATTATGTGACTAACACCAGTTCTTCATCACACTGTGTATCAACAACAATGACAACGATTCAATCAAATGTAATCTGTAATTCTTCTGCTCTGTCTAATTCTTTTATGCCCTTAACAATTTTAACAAATTCTTCATCATCATTACAAAACCTACCAATTTTACCTTCAAGTATTTCATCTTCACCGTCAGTGTTATCTGTGCTTCATGGTTCAACTCCTTCGTGTATTCCATTCCCTATGACTTCGAAGATTCCATTGGGTATGTTATTTTAATATATTGTTTGTGATGACGTTTCATTCTCTGAGCTGGATGTTTCGGTTGAGTAGTTCCAACCAAAGTTCCACAACCGAAATCTCTCCACCATCTCAATATATTATTTTCTCATTATTTGTTTCTTTCGGTTTGTATCATGTGTTAATGTCATGTTGAAATTTATTGAAACGTAGAAAATCCACCTTTCATTGACTTCATAGATTTGTTCCGTGTTTTGGTTTGGCCGCCCCTAGCTTTCTTCCAACCGGCTCCTACACCAGAAACCGTAGCTCGTCGAGGCAGTCTGTGGTTAGGCATACGTAACACATGTCCCAACCACCTCAACTGATGAAGTTTCACTACTTCATCAATTGTTTTTCTATCCTCGCCTAGTACTTGTTTCATTACAACAGCAGTGCTTACTCGTTGGTTCCATGATATACGGGTATGCAATCGAAGAAACCGATGATCGAAAACCAGTAACTTACGAATATCATATGCTCCCACTGTTTCACAGCCATAAAGTGGGACGGAGCGAACCGATGCGCAGTACACTCGTCCTTTGGTTAGCAAACGGATATCTCTCCTACGCCATAAGTGACGCAAGTTGGCGAAAGCCAATCGAGCCTTCTATATCCGTGCTGAGATTTCATCAGTCACCAGGCTATCAGCACTGATGAGACTCCCGAGATAAGTGAAGCGGTCGACACGCTCTGTGGTGCGCGCTACTCATAAGTAGTATGTGACGCGAGTGAAAACGTAATGTCTGGCAGCAGAAGATGGGGGAAGATCAAGAAAGGAAGAGTGGGAACACAATGGAATTTGTATGAAACGCATGAACAGTGAAATGTCAGATGATGGATTGATGTTTTGCAAATTAACGGTTTACGATATGGTTTTCCTATTTTACCAATTAACTCTGTAATTTGCGATAAATGCAATTTGGTTGCCCTTACCTGTGTTCTCCTTCACTACAGCTCAACCGCCTAACTCCCTATCACACTAGTTCAGGTGCCGAACAAGCCAGTCCTGAAGCAACATTTTGCATTCCGAGGTGAAGTATCACCTCCTGAATGTGCCTGCATTGTAGCTTAAGGTGGTCTAAAGACTGCATTTTGTCAGCGTCTCCATCGAATAGAACTATGTTGTTGAAATATTCTAATTTGAAAAGCGAATCTCGTGGTTACAGTTGAATTTCTAAAAAAGCATACGAGAAAAGCGTTACCTCTAAAAGCATGTTTGTGACAAAGTTGATTAAGAATAAAAAGCGTGAACAACCTTGTTGAATACCACTTAAAGTAATCATTTCCGATGTCAGTTCGCCATAAGCTTTAACTCGGCTGGTAGTGTTCGAGTAGAGAGCTTGTATAAGGTTTATGTACTTCTTTGATACTACTTTCAGTGACAGACACTGCCATAGAACGTCACGATCAACAGAGTCAAATGCCGCTTTTAGGTCGAGAAATACTGCTATTATGGGTTGCTTGGTTCTCATAGATTTTCTCACTAACAAATCCAACGACTTGTTTTGTTGATATACTGTGCTACTGACAGTCGTATTTAATTTTGTAGTTTATACATACTAATCTTGTCTTCCATTGAGCTCCTGGTTGAGCCCAACATTCTTTCGACGGTTTTATATACATTGATAGTGTATGATATTAAGTTTAGCTGTAGGTTGAAATAATTATCTTGTTATTTGACTCTATTAGTAAGCCGTTTATAGTTAAATCAACTGAATAATTCTCTGCTTTCAACATGTTTCTTAAGTCTTGAAATTGTTGAATTTTATTAATCATTTCGTACCTCCCATTTAGTGTAACTTGTCTGTTATTGTTACGCTAACATGTCACAATGAAGCTGAAGTCATATATTGGTCTGGTCGCTGCTTACCTTTTTCCAATCAATTCGTATGCGTAACACATATCCAAACCTCTGATCAGTTGAAAAATTTTCGAAGCCTCATGCATCGATTCATTATTTTACCTAACATTTTACATCTAACTATGATGCGTTACTTGATACTTGCAGTATTCTCAAAAAGGATCTTAAAATCTTGTTTATTTAAAATATACACAGTTTTATCGACATTTTTAAAGCTACAGTCGACAACTTGTTCAATCTAGATATAATAAATAACCTCAGCATTAGTAATTTCAAATTGTATCTGAATGTACACTGAACTGATCCAAAATAACTCCGGTTTTGATTTTTTTAAAAACGTATCGTTTAACCTAATAGATATTTCATGAATAAAAAGGAATCAATTCATTTCCTGTTCATTTGTTCTTTGTAAACTAATACTATCATCATCAGTGATAATCACCGAAACTATTGAATAATAACTACTCAGAAAAAAAAAAGATTACCATTAATTTTTACATAATTTTCTAGAAAAAATGTGTCAGTTATTGATGGCTTATAGACTAACTAATTAATTAATTAATGAAATATATATGTACGCGCACACACATAAATACTTAGAGAGGGAGAGAGAGAGAGAAAATAATTAAGATCGTTTTTTTATTCTGATTTCGTACACTGTTGTATTCTATTTTATTCTGTGCATGAATGTGTATGTGTGTGTGTTGTTTGTCATTATTGATTTTCTCGGATATATATAATGATAATGATAATGTACATCAATTATCGATTATAATATTGAAACACTAGTGTACATTATTGAAATACTTCAACTCTTCATTTATCTAAGTGCATTCGTGCACGATTGTAATTAACATTACAATGTATCAATGAATTGACACCTACCTATCTATATCTATCTACCTATCCACCTTATATACATGGAATTGTATTCATGTCCAATTCATATTGATTAATCAACTATTTTAGTTAGATTTTTTTAATTAATCATAACAGTAATAGTCGATAAGCTGATGGTATTTCATTAAATATTGTTATTTTTATGATAATTTTAACTGCATTTCTACGATTAAAAAAAAAGTAGAAAACAAACTAAAGATAGAAGAACGGATGTTCTGCACGGGAATTGATGCAGTATACATAGTTATTTATTTGGTGATAAAAACACAGAAGCAGTAACTGATCGCTAATTAACATCACATATTTGTAAACGCTTGTTTTTAAATCAACAAACCTGAGCGCTGACATTGTGTTGTTGTTCAAAAGCTAAGATGATATAACACACTATTATATCTTATCTATTTGATCCGATCAAAATATTATTAATGATGACTAAAATGTTGTTTAACGATGGAAAATTTATTCTTGCGACTAATTCCTCAAAATGCTCATTGCAAATGGTTTTCAAAAGGCAAAACCACTATTTAATTGACCGAGTCTTTAAATGATATATTAAGAAACTGAACATAATATTTCTGGTCTTTGTTGAAGGTATTTTGTGGAGATTAGGTTTAAATCGCAGACCTCATTCGTCACACACACTGATCTCAGTTTAGGTATTATTGAAAACCAGGGCGAACAAGATAGCTGTCTCGTCCTACCGGTATACAGCTTAGGCAACTTCAAACTGAAACAAGTGTTATGAGGGGCATTGGATGACTGTCATTCCAGATTTCAAATTAATCGCAATTAGAAATATTTACCGTTAGACGTTGACCTAGTAGTTCTTATGGCTTGATGTTGGCTTTAAGATATGAAGATTCACGGGTTTGATCCCTGGCAGGATTGTTAATATTCATGATTGAGTAATTCTGGTATGTCTGGTAGGAAGCAGTTATCTGTTTCTCATATGGCTCCAGCCTAAATTTGAATATGCAATATAGATCACTTTTACACTAACTCAATATCTGCATTGAACTGCGGCTCTAGAAATGCTGGTTATGTTATTTATAGTGTAGTTTGTATTGATAATAAACCTTGATTTTATCAACATCGACGAGCACTTGATAACTTTACATTCCTAATGCAAATTCAAACGCGCTAACCAGTTTTTGTTATTTATTTTTGAAGACTTAGTCCCTTATTAATCGTTCATCAAAATTTTTACTTGTAGTCAAGTTTTGCTCATTGTTTTGATATAACTGTCTCACTTCATTTACTTCCTAAATCTTAGTTCTGTACATAATTTAGTAAATATTCAAATATGGTCCACTTTTCATAAATATAAATAAAACAGTTAAAGCAGAATATTCTAGTCACTTGTTGCTTGAAATACCATTTTTTTTTGTTTTATCGATTAAACAAAAAAAAAGCCAACTGAAAGGGAGTTGGGAAAAAATATTGTTGGTCGCTTGTTAAAAGACCCAACAAATTTGTTGGTATTTTCGATCGTTGTACAGATTACTTGGTTCATTATAAGGACAATGACTTTTGTCAAGAGCTTGACTTCGTAAAAAAAGGTAGGTATCATCCATTGTAATATGTAGTCGGGAGGGCTGGTGCGAATGTCACTAAACACACAAGTAACACAAAGCGGATCTAATATAAGTAGTTAGATAAAACAACAACACTTCGACTTTGATAACTTCATGATAGTAAAATTAAGGAAGGTTGAATTTTACGGAGAAAAATTTTTTATCCCAAAAAAAGTTGACAATCGTTTATATGACTTTGGACAGGAGCAATGAATAGGAAGCGGTCAATTACACCTGGCGTTGTATATAATCCATGTTATAATCTCTCTGTGGTTCATTATGACAGCATTTTAAAATTATCTCCTACTTTATGTTTTTTTATTATTCAAAATTAATTATCATCTTCAAATTGGTTTAACTTCAGAAAAATATGAGGTAATTCATTTAATACATTGTTTGATAGGAAATTAATTGTTACAATTGCTTTTTCTAAACTGTTTATTTCATTCAATATAGAGAATGTCATCTATTGTATTCTAATTTACTTGGTTATTCAACAATTTTTTTTCTTATCATTTTATGTTTCCAAATAGATAATACTATTAATTCAATTGTAAGTCATTTACAAACTAATCAAACTTCAACTGATGCAACGTCAATGAATCAAATGCATTACGTACCTTTGAATCAACAAATCAGCATGCCATCATCGTTTACTACTAATTCTACTATGACAACACAAACTAGCGCAACTGTATCTTATCCTTCCATTTTGTTTATAAATCCATTAAGTTCTAGTTATCCAATAAATACAACAAACCTGTCAACAAATTTGACCAATACTACCTCAACAGATTCAACTATATCTTCCTCTACTGTCCAATTGTCTCATAATGATGAATTATCTAAATCGGAAGAGGCGACTAAAGATTCTCCTGATAATAATGAATGCATTTCATTAAATGTTTCCGGAACAACTGCCAATTGTATGGATGAGAATATCGATCCATTAGACAGTCCTACATCTATTGATTCATCGCAAAAATCTATGAAAGATCGAGTTGAGCCATTGGATACTTTTGAAATAGCTGCTACAGTTAGAGATCTTCTTACAAAGCATAATATTTCACAACGTCAATTCTCTAGACATATACTTAAATTAAGTCAAGGTACAATGAGTGAATTGCTGTCTAAACCGAGACCATGGTATAGATTGACAGCACGTGGTCGAGATTCTTATAGACGATTGCAAGCATGGATATCAGATCCAAATAATGTGAATAGTTTAAAAAATGCTCAACGCAAACGAACCGGTAAGTGTATTATGGCACGTGTATTTAGCTAAAATATTTTTCTATGGAAACTAGAATTCAACTGATGTATCTGAATCTATGATGAACATGTATTGTAATTATTGTCGACCTTCGAAACAAATATAATTTTACATAACAGTTCATACTTCAATTCTACTCTTGTTATTCCGTTATACACCAACAGTTTATTTGTTAAAACGCTCAATTTTTAACTAATATGTCTTGGGTTTGAACCTATTTCCATCTAACTCACTTCGAGTCGGCTATACTCAAGGGCGAAGTTGTTGTTATTATATTTTGCTGATCTACTGATATTAAGATTATATAACTTTCTAAAAGTAGATTTCAGCAAGTCATAATAAGCAAGATCTAAATAATGTTCTCAGTCTGTCAGTCAGTCACCCAATTACAACATAGAACTTCGTACGTACGTACATCAGTTCAAGTTGCCATACCACATTAGCACAGAGACACAATTGTCAATTCAAACCCTCTTGTAGCAGGAGTAGTAGAATTATTAGCAGTAATTGGAGAGATTAGGGTTCGAAGAAGTATAATCCATTAAAAAGAGAGAGATAAAGGTGATGAGGAATCCGGAGGGTTATGATTTGAGAGAAACCAAAGAATGGATGCACCTGCGCCATCACAAACGGTTTTGAGCCATGTCATTCAAGGTCTCTAACCATCGGTTACTATCATCTCACGGACCCCAACAAGATAGTCTACATTTACCAACATAGCTCAGTCAGCCTGTCAGTGGCTTCATGGATTTGTGCCATATTGTGGTCTGTTCGCCCCTAGCTTTCTTCCAACCCTCTCCTACACCACAGAAACTCACGAAGGGGCCACTTATGACTAACATTTTGGCACTGTGGTCTCACTTCCAAGTGGTCAAAACGATTCCTGAGTTTTTTTAGATATATCAAGACGTATCCCTTCACAACTACTAACACGCTTTTAACAATAGACAAGATCACCTTTATTTTTATGTGACTCAATAGCTAATAGGTGTAGTTTTGTCCTAAGAAAACTCCTTCAAGTGTTATTAATTAGATTTATATGAAAACTTGCTGATACTTACTCACTACTTTTTAATTACTTCTAATCTGGGTTCATAAAAACTCGTTGGACACATAGACAAAGCTTATAGTGTAATACACTTTTGACCATTTTAAATCCATATTCAAGCTTGTTGATTATAAAGGGCTTAATATTTGACTTCTCTTCTGCACATGTATTTCCTTCATACCTGTTGAAATATTACTATCTTATTACATTTTATTTTTCCTCAATATATCAGTAGAGACTACTCAATCTGCATGCGAAATCAATAGCTTAAATAACCATCAATCTCTATCAGTTCCTAACTCGGATCCTGTAGAATTATCAGCAACTTGTCAAAAAGATGTTTCCCTAACAAAATCTACATCAATTTCTCCATTCGTCTATCGTAATGATCTTGAGCCGCTAAGTGTTTTAACTAGTCGACCTGAGAAGACGGAATCTATGTATGACCTAGAAACTCAAAAGTCTTGTGATTCTCGTCACTATCAACAACAAACTGCTAAAGAAACAAATCACTATCATCGCTCTTTAATGAAATCCTCTGAAACAAGTCAATCAGATGAAAATATGTCATCTAAAGAAGAACAAGAAACTGAAAGACGTATTAATCAAATTTTATTAGCTGCCAAAGCGGCAATGGATTATGAGAAACAATTTAAAACCAATGGATTAACTGAAAAAATTATCCATGATCCAATTGAAAATACATTAATAAAACAGCATCAATCTCCATTATCCGATTGTCAAACTGGAATTTATAATGATAGCAGTCCATCAGTATCCGGTAATAAATGTTTTGGAGCTAGTGATTCACAAGTGAGTTTCATTTTGATCATATAGTATTTTTTGTTTACATAAATAACAATTTTCACTACAGGTTGCGCAACTCCGTGAATTTGATCAAGTTAGACATTAACACTGTTAGATACCGGCTCAGTGGTCTAACGGTTAGGGCGTTCGCGCACAATACCGAAGGTCCTGGGCTCGAATCCTGCGGGATGCAGGAGTCGTGGATGCGCACTGCTGAGGAGTCCCATACCAGGACGAAACGGCCGTCCAGTGCTTCCAGGTTTCTAATGGTGGTCTAAAATTGATCGATTCATGGTTTCAAAAATAAATAACAATGTATGCCACATATAATAACTAAAATAATTATGAACTCTTGTTATGTTATTTATCCTAATGATGATATTTTGTAAGAATCTACGTTAGGAAACGAGTTCTAGGTAATGATGGCAAATCAGTAGATGAAACATTGTAGGAGTAGGTTGGAAGAAAGCTAGGGGCGACCAAACCAAAACATGGCACAAGTCCATGAAGTTAGTGACAAGTGGACTCAGTCATGTTGGTAGATGTAGGCTACCTGGTTGAAGTCCGCGAGACGAAAGTCACCAATGGTTAGAGACCTTGAACGACATGGCTCAAAATCGTTTGCAATGGCGCAGGTGCATCCACTCTTTGTGTGCTTTTTAATTCTAACCTTCTGAATTCCTCATAATCTCTATCTTCATCCTTCTAAATTTATCTCACTGAATTATACTTTTCGAATCATATCTTCGCTCCCTAATATTCTCCATTGCTGCTAATAATTCTACTATTGCTATCACTCTTGGATTTGAACTGACAGTTACGTCTCTGTGCTGATGTGGTATGGCAACCTGAACTGATGTACTTATGTACGAATTTCTGCGTTGTATCTGTCTGTCTGTCTGTAAGAATTTACACCTTTGACCACTGTTATGTCACAGACACTTGATAACAGGACCAGAACTCAGTATTCTATTCTTCTTTTCACTTGATCAATTCGAGATTTGTATTAGAAACTGGTGTATTAATTATGCAAAGAATTTATTCTAACATAAATCTAAAATTGAAGCTGATCATAATGCGATATATATTTTAAAGTCAAGGACTATATGTTTCTGCTGCATTCCACTCTATAATTCATGATGGCCTTTAGTGTTTACTGTATACGTTTCATGTAGAATATGGAATGGAAGATGGCTGGCTAGTGGTGGAATTCAGAACGCGTGTTTCGTTCTATTAGACACTTGTTGGATTGAGGTACCTATGCATCAATTTTTTTTAATGGATCGTTTACATTTACATTCATACTGTAACATTCACATATTGATCAAACATTGTGTGTATGTCAATTAAGAGTTTGATATTGCTTATTTATTAGTTGTTATTCGAAGATATTGTTCAATTGATTGCCTACAATACAATACTATATTTGTTGCTTTCAGGGAAATAAATTTCTGTTCAAATTATTCTTAATTTTGATATTCTTATTTATTGTAGTCCACTACTACCACTACTACTACTACTACTACTACCACTGTTACCACTTCTGAAAGTATGATCAACTCTTCTGAATCAACTATGGGCACTTCATTGACCAATGAAAACAATAATAGTGTTATATATATTTCTTCATCTCATCTATCACCATATCCTAATAATTTATTAAGACATGATACAAATGTTAGTTCTACAGTGTTAAATTATAGTAATTCTTTTGATAATATCAATAATTCATCATGCAATCCAACTGCATGTTATAATAACTGTCAAACTATCGATGAAAAATCAATTTATCCATCTGTAAATGAAATTAAAACATGTTCAAAATTGCCATCTAGTCAGTTGTTAACTTCAATGTCACCAGTCTGCCCAAGTACTACTGTAGTTCATGTTACACATCAATCTATGCCAATTATGTCGAATGGAATTACAGTTTCAGATCTTGTGAGTTCATAAATGCCTGTAGTTTTATATTTTATTGTAAAATTAATTTTTTTTTCTGCTGGGGTAGCTCCCAGAAAGTGCAAACGAGCCTCCATAGGCTCTGAAAAAGCTGAAGAGACTCCATCCAGAAAGAACCTGTTCAAATATCCCTAGTCTCGGCTTGGCATACGGTGATTGGATATCTGTGACTGTGAGATCATACTACATAATCGTTCAGATCATCAATCGCAAGTTAACTTCTTTTCGATGTAATCCAAGGAAAATCAATTTTTTATCTGTGAGATATTGATTCTCAGTATTTATGACCTCGTGTTCAGATAAATTTGTTTTCGAATTTTAATTTTGTTTGTTCGGATCGAAAGTTGGTCTGGGTCTGTGATGCATAATCGATAACATAACATTCGCCTATATTGTTGGTTTTCAAAATTTTTGTGATGTTTTTATCATGTACATTTATATATATATATATATATATATATATATATATATATATATATATATATATATAAGATTGTAGCTATTATGATTAATATTCCCAAAAAATCTTTAGTCTTCTCTATTACTGCCAATACTTCTACTGTCTCTACCTCTATGGGGGTTGAACTGATCGTCGCGTCTCTGTGCTAATGTGATATGACAATCTTGTTTTGGAGTTAATGCTGGTTTAATATATGTAATACATGTCCCATCCACAAAAGTCGATAGGTATTTCCATCTCTTTCTAACGATTTCCTACTTTTACAAAGTACCTAACAACTTACCGCATTACTACTCTCTTGGTTTCCCTACCATTGTAGTGAATGAGAACACAGGTGGGGGCAACCGAATTGTGTTTAGCGAAAATTACAGAGTTACTCAGTAAAATCGGAAAACCATATCGTAAATCGTTCATTTGCAAAAGATCAGTTCATCCTATGGAACTGGACTGTTCCTGTTGCAAAACATCACTCCATTGTCACTATTCATGCGTTTCATACAAATTCCATTGTTTTCTATTTCTTCCGTTCTTGATCTTCCCCTCATATTCTGCTACCAGACTTTACGTTGACACTCACGTCATATACTACTTATAAGTAGTTCGCACCACAGCACCACACCATATTACGAGTGAAGTTTCAAACATTTTGTAAAATGAAGTACTGGTAATCTACGAAGCTGAAGATCGTTGATCAGAATATTGAGCAGCTGCACAGTATATTCACATTTAAATCAACCGACTCACATGTCCCTTGCATCAAAGATAGCATAAATTCGTGAAAAGTTAGGACGCATTTTGAATCCGTCCTGGAGTTTATTCATCCATCAGTAGTAATCAGATTTTTCATGTAAGCACAAATTAGTCAGTTCAATTTATTCCGTTCACTTCATGTCAAATTGAAGTAGATAACATCAGGACTTTCCCCCTTCGTGACAACAATTTTGTTTGATTTTTTTTGGTTGTTTTAGTTAAAATTATTTTCTACTCAATTAACGAATAGTTCAATTAATTCAAACAAACCAGTTATATTCGATTCAACGCTTGATGATAATAACAATAATAATTCTCCGTTTCTTTCAAAAATTCAATCCACCACCATTACCACATTACCTTGTAGCCTAACTACTTCAACAAATCTAAATAATAATAGTCAAAATTTTATATTCAATGGTAATCTTCCATTATTGACCAATTCATCATCCATCTCTTCACCTTATTCCATGAATAATACTATTATTAAACCAAATGATTGTACACCACCGATCTATGCACCACCACAAACAATAACAACAACACCAACATCAACCATAACTAATGAATTTCCAATGCCTATTTTATCTCCATCAATAATTAAATTGAATAATCATTTACCAATTCCACCTTTAGGCATGCCACCTGTATCATCAACATCATTATTCTCACAGACTTTGTCATTTCCTACTTCTACTTCTACTTCTTCTGCTTCTTCTACTTGTCTGTCATCACCAATGTCATTACAACAAACTTTAATGCTTTTAGCTTCAGCTGCAACAGCTAGTGTCCAGTTGAAAACTTCTTCATCGACATTAGAGAATTCAGAGCATATTAATGTTAATCAATGGAATCAGGTGGATTTGAGTACCACAACTATTACTACTCCTGTCACTACTACCAATACTACTACTTCTACTACTGCTATACCACCATCATTAACTAATATTGATTCACTTCATCATCATAATTCCCATGATATAATTGATGATCATTCATCCGATATGAATAATACATTGTTTCCATTTCAAAGAATAGTACTACCTCCTTTGAAACAAGAAGATATTGATAAGTATAGTGAATTATCTACTGAAGAGATAACTCATCGTACACGTTCAATTCTTTCTCAGTATTCTATTAGTCAAAGACTTTTTGGTGCACATATACTTGGTAAGTTGTTTTGTATGTAAAGCTTTTTTTTTATTCAAATATTTTTTGTGTATTTATCAATAGTACATTAGTTCATTAAGCAAAATTTTAAGATGCTCAACTAGTGAATCTTCATTGATTGATATGATTTCAACATGTATAACCTATTCCCAACTACCATCTACCCCGATGAATGATATCTGTTGGTGTAGGAGTAGATTAAAATAAATCTAGAGGTGACCAAACCAAGATTTGGGTTTAGTCTATGAAGTCCATTGACTCTGGTGAACCGGGCAGTGTAAGTAGGTGTATATTGATCGGTTGAGGTTTGCACCATTTTCGTAACCAATTTTTAAATTTGTTGAATGAATGCATTAGATATATTTGTCTATCCTTAAATCTTGAGTTTTCAAATTAATCCATAATTTCTCGAATTACATATTTTCGGCTAAAATAATATCTGAATATAATCTTAATCATAAACTATTAACAGTTGAACAACTATTGAAAATTAGTGAAATATACTTAACAACTGTTACGTCATTGCTTGTTAGTATTCAGTAGTAAACATAAAAGAATTCACAAGACACTACATCATTACACTAACGAAATATGATTTACTATGATATGCGCTATATGTGATTTCCAATAGTGTTCACCAGCTCATGAAGGTCAGCTTGTGTTCATAAATTTCATTCAAAGTGTGCATTTTGAATAACATATTAGTTATCATCTTCAATATTAGATCGATAGTCTTTCAAAACAATACATCTCTGATATACTCACCAATCGATATGCTTGAATGATATTACGAGTTCACCTTACTCGGTAAACTGAACGAAGAGCAATTACTCAGTGACACGATAGGCTATTCTAATCCGTTGTCTCAGGCCCCGCCAACGAAAGCAAGAAGTCTTGATAAGGCGTAGAGAATCTATTCTGCAAGCACCCAGAAAATACGAGTTGTCTAAGCACTCAAATCAAGCTTATTTATAGAATGATAGAAACGCCATTAGGAGAGCCACAAAATAGCGTACTAAAATAATCCATCAACCAATGACAGTCAAGGATTTTCCGAATGGGAAATGTAAGCTGAAGGTCAACTGGCGCGAAAACATGGAAATTCAAAATTTCAGAATAAAATTACAAAATTAGGACCTTTCCAAGTAAGTTATGGGGATCTAATGTCCCCAACATGCTCAACTAAAGTTCTTTGTCGTACCGTGTAATCATTGAACTTCTTAACCTTGAATTAAATAACCGGACAGATTTTATAACTTATGTCATTCCATGCACATATGTACGTGTATATGTATATATTTCCACAGACAGACATTTTAGTCTTCGGAAAATCGCGGATCCATAGACCTCTTACGCATTTTCAGGTGGATTGTTAGAACTAGAAAGAAGAAATTCCTGAGCATAGGAATGAAGGTTGTAAATAATTTAATTTACAACAAGAATGAAGAGATACGGAGTGGCACAATTTTGAGGATTTAAAATTTATGCTAAAGAATAGACATATATTTGTCATTTTTAACCTGCGTTATCTGAAGACTTCATATCTATGCCATTTGGTAAAATCCATCTATAAAATATGCGTTTCTGTTGTCTACATAGATCTACAGTTTTATATCTATATTATCTTCTATTTACACAGCTTAACTTGTGAGTAAATGGGTTGTTGTTGTTGTTTTAAATGACGGTCTGATTAATGTTAATTGACTTCCAATTGATTTGATCACTAAGTTTCCTTACATTTGATTTCTTAATCAGCACAGCCAATAATGATAGTGTTTGTTGTTTAATTCTTTTTTTATAATATGGATTTTATATTATCAAAGATGCTGTTGATCAAATTGTAAACCCATTCAATATTTACAACCAATATTATACAATGCAAAGAACACAATGATATACAAAGACTAGCTAAATATCTTCATCTAAAAGATAAATTGTTACAGCTGCGAACATTACATCTTACAAACTGTCCACTGTCTTCTTGTGTATCTACATCAACAGCGGCTAGAGCTATCGCATGCCTTAACACATCCTCACTGATATCAATCGTTGTGGACAATTATAGATATGGATTCGAGTGGGAAAATGTAAAAGTCTTGAACAGACAAAATGCATAAAAAAGCTTAGCACCAAGGTTATCTATCAATAAACACATCGAACTAGACCTGATATTTCAGCCAGTAAGAAAAACAATGAACTACTAGGAGGTTAGAGTTCAGGTTAGATGAAGAGATAGCGAAAGTGAGTAGTGTGCGACCAATAGAAACATGATTGGGATAATAGCCAATCGGATTCTATTTTAACAGAATAAGTTCTTAGTAAATTGTGGATAGTGTTACTAGCTCAATTTTTTTGGGAGTATTTGTGGATAATGTTATATATCTAAACAAATAAAGCTTTATGTTTAAATCATCCAACTCATAGGTACAAAACAGAAGCAAATATTCTTCTGGAGTGAAGCCGTAACCTGACGGTCAAATTATTCACCTTCCAATCGCAAGTTCAAACCCCTCTCCTTATTAAAAATAATTTAGCTTAGTGCTTAGTTCAAAAATATCAGTCAGGCAATCAGTTGCAACGTGGAACTTCGTACGTATGTACATAAGTTCAGGTTGCCATACCACATCATCACAGAGATGTAAATATCAATTCAAATCCCATAGTAATGGAAATGGTAGAGGTATTAATGGTAATGAAGAAGACTAGGGTTTGAAGATATTATTCGAGAAGTATAATTCAGTGGGATAAGGTTAGAAGACGAAGGTAGAGGTGCTGACGAATCCAGAAGATTAGGATTTGAGAGAGCAAAACAAATAGATGCACTTGCGCCATTGCAAACGATTTTGAGCCATGTCATTCAAGGTCTCTAACCATTGATGACTTTCGTCTCGCGGACCCCAACCAGGTAGCCTACATCTACCAACATGACTCAGTCCACTTGTCAGTGACTTCATGGATTTCTGCCATGTTTTAGTCTGGCCGCCCCTAGCTTTCTTCCAACCTACTGCTACACTACAAAACATAGCTCGTCGAGGCAGTCGGTGGTTTGCCATACGTAACACATGTCCCAACCACCTCAACTGATGAAGTTTCATTACTTCATCTATTGATCTGCCATCCTTACATAGTACTCGTTTCCTTACGACAGCATTGCTTACTCGGTTGTCCCAGGATATACGAGCAATGCTTCTTAAACATCTATGATCGAATACTAGTAACCTACGAATTTCTTCTACTTTTAACGGCCATGTTTCACATCCATATAGGAGAACGGAGCGAACTGCTGAGCAGTACACCTGTCTTTTGGTTAGCGAACGGATATCTCGCCTACGCGATAAACGGCGTAAATTGGCAAAAGCAAATGTAAACTTAGTAAATGAATTACATACGAAAACCATTTTCGTTATATCCAGTTATTTAAAAATTTCTTTATATATGCCTCTATTAAATTGTATTAAAACTATATATCCTAATATATTTGGTCTAGGTAATTGTTAATAACATTTTCATACTTTTTCTTGTTGCCTACTAACATCAAGGTTTATCTCAGGGAAGTGTTTCTGATTTATTGACCCGACCAAAACCATGGAAATTACTTACACAAAAAGGTCGTGAACCGTTTATAAGAATGCAGTTATTTTTAAATAATCCTGATCATGTAATAAAATTGTTACAATCATGTAAGTTTTTGCCTATATTTACGTAGCTCTCTCTTACCCTATACTTTACGGTATTTGAATATTTACATTCAGAAAGCCACTACTGCTACTACTAGTTATATAAAAATCAAGTCAGATAGTCTTTTTAATAGACAGATACAACGCAGAACTTCGTACGTATGTACATCAGTTCAGGTTGCCATAACACATCAGCACAGAGACGCAACTTTCAGTTCAAATCTAAGATTGATAGTGATAGTAGAATTATTGGCGGTAATGGCGAAGATTAGAGAGCGAAGATATGATTCGAGAAGTATAAATCAGTAAGATAAATTTAGAAGGAGTAAGATAGAGATTATGAGGAATTCAGAAGGTTAGAACAAAGTTAGAACATTTTACAAATAATTGGCATTACGAACCGATAATTAAGTCAAATAGAGCATCACTGAATTTCACCGGTTCCTAATAATCCATAGAAAAAACGACACAACTTCATCCAATAAAACAGAAGATGCTCGAATAATTCAGTCTTCTGACTAACTTAGGCAATAGTGCAAGTGTGTGTGGCATGTGATTCTCTCCTATGGTAAAACACTACTTTAGGATCATCCTGTATCGGCGCAAGAATTAACGGTAGAGAGTGAATTAGTTGAGCGTATCGATCGCTTCATTTGTCTTTGGTATCCTATCAATCCAGATGAACTGATGTTTGACGAAATATCGGCACGGATACCAAAGTTTTGATTGACTTTTGCCAATTCGCATCACTTGTGGCGTAGCTGAGGTATGCATCTTTCTGTCAGTTTAAGGCCTTTAAAAATAGAGGGTATTTGTAGGCTGCTAGTATTCAACCGTAGGAGTAGGTTAGAAGAAAGATAGCGGCAGCCAAACCAAGACAATACTAATTCTTCAAGTAATTGCCCACTGGGCTGATCCATCTTAATAGATGTGGGCTACTTTGTTGATCCACGCTATTATCCTCTCTGCAATCGTACAAAGTGATCTTGCGAATCATCGGTGTCTAATTATGGCATTTTTATCCAATTTAGTTAATATGCTTACTTCAACTGTACCCCCCTCCCCCAACCTTAAGTTCACATTGTGAAACCGGACTTATTAATTTCTCCGCACACTTCAGTCTTATTCTACCCAATATATCATTAAATTAATAAAAGTTTAGAGATGACATTATTCCATTAAGTAGTTAATTTTTTATTTACGTCATGTAAGTAAAGGCGGACTTTTTTTCCCAGGATTTCATAAGGCTTCTTACAAGAAAAGGGACTAGTAATGACTGTAGTCGCTCTAACTGGTATTTGCAAAGTTATATCCACATGTCAGTATTGCTATCGCGTATTTGTGTACGCAGTCACTTTGCTGAGAATCACACGATTGACAGCCATTGATTATAGGATTTGTCAAACTTTAGAGAAGTAATTTTAATTGTCCCGAAAACTCGCTTGTTAAATGTCTTACTTTGGATTTCACGTTTGCCAGCATGGGCTGATCAGTTGACCTTGAGATTTCAATTCCCACCCAGAAAATCCATGGCTGTGATTGGCTGCTGTGTATTTTAGTGTGCTATTTTCTTAACTGTCCCAAGGACGTTTCTATGATGTATAAATAAACGAGAGTTGTATGCTTGATTGTACTGTGATTGCTGGGTGTTTGTAGAATATACTTTCTACGCTTACAAAGCCTTTTTTACTTCAGTTTGGGATTCAAGGTAACCTACCTGAACGCTGGTAAAAGTCTCGTTCGCGTTTATCGACTAAGGTAAACTCGTAATAGCCTCAAGCATACTTAGTGACAAACATAACACTTTCCTGATTTTATTATCACAAAGTTAGGGTTGTTGTTCCGTTGAATAGAAAGTATTGACACTATATTCGTCTATTCACAACACGAATAGACTTTCATTCTCTGCAATATACAAATATATTTTCGGTTTATGAAATCAATATTATTTTTAATAAATAAATTAATTAAATGTATCCGTTTATCATAGTCTGTTAGCTACCATTCCGATATAATTATACTTCTGTTACTATTACTACTACTACCATTACCACTACTACTACTAATAATAATAATAATAGTAACAATAATACTAATCATACCTTCTGCGTACTGATCATTATTATTAATGTCACTATGTTTTTTATATTGATTTTAGTTCATTTTACTGGTAATTGTTGAATGTGATCAGGAATAGAAATAAAATACAAAAAATCAATACAAAATACCATGTTAATTGATTCTGTTTATTAATTCATATTTGTGATATCGGTAGTATTTTAGTTATCAGTGTATGTAGTAGGAATGATCTTAGAATGCTTTTTTTCATTGTAATCTTGTCTGTAATCTCCTTGTAAAAATTACCTTAATTAAATTGTTTATTTTATAGTAGAAGTACTATTTGTTATTATTTACATATTCTCACATGTTAGACATGATAAATAACCCAGTAGTTCAAGCATTAGACTTTTAACCATAAGATTACCAGTCTAAATCCTCCTACCTTCACTTATTTTGTTTTAGTCAGCCAGGTGGTAGTATTATTAGTTTTCATATTGACAGTGTATTTCAAGGCCAAGCACATAAATCTGTCAACTGGGTAAATGAGTTAAATTAAAAAAAGTGTATATTATGACCCAGTGCTTAACAATATCGTATCATTGTATGTATGTACAAATGTCTAATAGATTGTTAGAATGTTGATTCAACAATTGTTTATTAAGTCCAAATGATAAATAAATTATTTCGATTTAGAATATATGTTAGATAATCATTTTACATGCAGAACTCAGAAACGGAAAAAAGAAGTAGTGTAGTGAAGGAGAACACAGATGAGGGCAACCGAATTGTATTTATCTCAAATTACAGAGTTAATTGGTAAAATAGGAAAACCATATCGTAAATCGTTAATTTGCAAAATATCAGTCCATCATATCGAACTGGACTTTTCCTGTTGCAAACATCTAATCCATTGTCTGACATTTCACTGTTCATGCGTTACATACAAATCCCATTGTGTTCTCGCTCTTCCTTTCTTGATCTTCCCCCATTTTCTGCTGCCAGACATTACGTTTTTATTCGCGTCATATACTACTTATAAGTAGTGCGCACCACAGTAGAACCCAATTGAGATTCCGTAATAATTTATTGCATACAATAAAGTGAAGTTATGTAATAGGCGCTAGTTTTTTTATACCAAGGTTAACACTTTTATTGAGAAGAAAAAAATTAGAGAATTGAACCTTTTTTCTGTTCTCCATATTATATTTGCATTATGAGATGGGGTTTTAAGAATATTCAGTCAATTATCGAAATATTTATGTATTAAAAAAAGACTTAATGACAATTAGTCATAGAAATTCTATAATAGTTAATACAATAGTGCTATGCTTATATCACAAAAAGTAAACATATTTAAATACCAACCAACTATAGTATGAAAGTTTTGTAGGTTTCTTATTTATCAATGGAAATTAATTTTTTTTTCTCTTCATATTGATTTATCATTAACTAGCTGCTAACTTATTCACAACCACTATCCCAATTGCATTCAATACAATAAATTCAATTTATTTAATTTGATAGTAAAGAACTTAACTTACAATAAGTTATAAATCTCACTTCTCTGCTTCTCCATCTTTGAAAACAAAAATCGGTATATTACTAAACATTCAAACACTCTTCACTCAGATTTAGTGATCAAGGCGAAATTTATACTGAATTATTGAAGTTGTAAATGTATTAAAATGTTTTTGCTATTAACAGTATTTTAATTTCTCTTAATTAAAATTATCATCTGTAATTATTTCCTAATGAATCTATGTGTTACTGTTGGTAGTAGCAGTCGAGAAATCCGCTTACCAACCAATGGTAGGGTTTATTGCGTAACAGTTCGCTCCGTCCTATTTTATGGCTGTGAAACATGGCCAGTAATAGTAAAGGATATTCGTAGATTACTAATATTCGATCATCGGTGTCTCCGAAGCATTGGTCGTATTTCCTGGGACCACCAAATAAGCAATGCTGTTGTTAGGAAACGAGTACTAGGCAGGAATGGCAAATCAACTGATAAAGTAGTGAATCTTCATCAGTTGAAATGGTTGAGATATGTGCTACAAATGCCAAGCTACAATCAACTTCTCAGTACTACTTAATCGATGCCTTGCAAACAATTCTTTCAGAGTACTTATGATTGAATGATAACGATTTAAATATATCTTTTATTTCCATGATACATGTTTCACAATTTCAAATTATTAGTTTTCTACTCAATACATTTGTCATTTGTTCAGTAAACGAACGATGATTAAGATAAAAGTTGATAGGGAGCAAATTACCTTATTCTATCTGCACTATGATTTCGGTAGCCATGAACCCCTTAGAAATGATGAGGATTACTAGATAAATGACAGATCAGTCCAATGTTTACATTCATTTAGTTAACCACTAGTTTCAGAAATATTAATACTTGACGCGCTTCCTTAAAATATGAATAATATTCTCACTGTCAGTGTTTTCTACCCATTAATATATAGTGAAAGCAAATAATGTTGGGATCCTTTGGGAATTCCTAAAAAATGTTTTCGGACGCCAGTTGAGGTGGTTGGGATATGTGTTACATTTGCCAAACCGCCGACTGTCTCGTCGATCTATGTTTTGTAGTGTAGGAGTAGGTTGGAAGAAACCTAGGGACGGCCAAACCAAAACATGGCACAAATCCACGAAGTGATTGACAAGTGGACTGAGCCATGTTGGTAGATGTAGGCTACCTGGTTGGGGTCCGCGAGACGATAGTCACCGATGGTTAGAGACCTTGAACGACATGGCTCAGAATCGTTTGCAATGGCGCAAGTGCATCCACTCTTTGTGTTCTCTCATATCCTAACCTGAATTCCTCATCATCTTTATCTTTCTAGATTTATCTCACTGAATTATACTTCTCGAATCATATCTTCGAACCTTAGTCTTCTCCATTACCGCTAATACTTCTCTTGTCTCTATCATTATAGGATTTAAACTGACATTTGCATCTCTGTGCTAGTATGGCAACCTGAACTGATGTACATACGTACGAAGTTCTCCGTTGTAACTGACTGATAATAGTAATCTTGGAAAGTAGGATGATGTCATGAGATTATCATTACACGTTTAATTATCAGACTTGAATCATTCAACTTACGATGGATGATGGTCACCGTGATCATCAAATTTAGAAATTTTTTTTAATTAATTTTACATAATTCATATATATCCTTTTTCAACCCCGTCCCATATGTACATAAATTTACAGGTTCATCTCATAGTGAAACTATTCATTCTAACCACCAGCCTGATATAAATATTAATTCAAATGTATTTATGCAACAACCGTGTATTGATCAGACAACACTCACTGCGACGACAACATCACCACCACTATCAACAACAACAACGACATACGGGAATCCACTTTCAATTTTGAATCCTTCAATCTATGATTCACAAATGATGTATTCTGGACAAACTATTGATTGTTCATTATTTGAACCGATCACAAGTCCATCAGGTTCACCTACACCAAATTCTATACAAAATGAATATTCATGTGAAAATGACAATATATTACCATTAAATAATAATAATAGCAATAATAATAATAACAATAATAATAGTAATCAAAGTTCTAGCGTTTATCAAAGACCTTCATCAAAGAAAGTTATGGAATTGGCAACATCTATAACCGATCTGGATACAACATCAATGTGTGGCAAAATAAAAGAGGTGAGAGATATATTATTGTTAAAAAAGATTTAAATTATTTCATTGTTGATAATTGTGAGTAAATTTGAATAACTATTAATTGGGATAAGTAAATCCTGCGTAAGTTGCCTCAATATAGCTATTTTGTTAGTGGGTTGTATAGAATAGATGGATTTGTGACTAGAAATGAAATCCAGAACACACATTTCATCCTGTTCGGTACTCATCAGTTGAGTGTGGCGAGAGATACATTATATTCGAGTCTCCGCAAGCATACTTAGATGTAATTATACCTGGCTAACGAGCTCCAACAGGACGAAATACGCGTCTTGGATTTCAATGGTAGTCATAAATGCGATCATTGTATAAAATTAGCTAAGATAATTTAGCTGGGTTTGTTTTCAATATCTTCATGTAAAAATATTCTTTAATCTAGTACACATACTTATGCGCTCGTGTTATCTTATTTAGTTAAAATAATGTTTAGTTGGATCAATTTCCGATTGCCTCTTAGCTCGATGCACAGTGTCTGTTAGTATGAGTAGGTTGGAAGAAAGTTAGATAGTGGTCAGTATATGAAGTCATTGACTGTTAAATTGAACTATATAGGTCGGTACAGTCTAGCTGGTCAGGGTATATATATATATATATATATATATATATATATATATATATGTAATCTGCTGCTCAAAAAAACGAGGCAACATGAGACCGAACAAGGTATTCTTTCATTTTATGAATTTTTTTACAATATTGCACGATACTACACCTTTTCGAAAAATGGATTAACGGAGAAAAACTGACAATTCGGTTAACATCATTTTCTACAGTATGAAATTCATTTTAACAACAGAATCAAGCAGTAAATTACCATTTTTTGGATACACTGGTTACTAGAATCCCTATGGAACCCGATCCATGGACTTACATTTGACTGGGAATATTGTTATAAGTCTTAGACAGGGAAAATGCAGATGAAACCAGAAAAAGCTTAGCACCAAGTTCACTCATCGATCACTAGACACATCGAAATAGACGTGATATGTTAGCCAATAAGAAAAACGGTAAACTATTGGAAGGTTGAAGTCCAGGTCAGGTGAAGAGGTAGTAAGACTGACCGTGTAGACAAAGACAACACAATGTGGACAAAAGCTGCGTCCTACTTCGCAAGGTAGATTATATATAAACAGTAATATTTACAGGATTATGTTTAGTTTGGAGATTCCAGAAGGTTCTGGTGAACATGTTATTACTAATTCACCAATCTCCTATACTGGACAAAGAAAAATTAATCAGTCATTTTCTTAATTATTATTGAAAATTACCAAAGAAAGTTGTTCTCTCCTTGTTTCTTTGGAATTTTCCATGAAATTATTGAGCAGTTATTACAATCTCTCACTTCAGTGACTAAACTGTCAATAGGTCATAGTGGTCATTGGTTAATTTTGATATTTTAATGGAGTTCTTCATTTCCATTTTTCTAAAATATATTCCTTCTAGATTTTATTGCAAATTTTTATTCCGCTTTTTGTTATTGTTACAAGTCATTCCTTTAATAATTAAACCTTTTTCTCTATTTCTGCATTAATTTCGTTTTTTATGCATCAGCTTTTACAACGTCATTCAATACCACAACGATTATTTGGTGATGTTGTATTAGGAATGTGTCAAGCATCTGTTAGTGATATTTTATCTAAAACACGTCCTTGGTCACATTTATCAAATAAAGCTAGAATACCCTATGTACGTTTACATTTATGGTTACAAGAACCGGATCATTTGGAAATGTTGAAAGCTGCTCAGGCAAATATCAAAGGTAAATTCCTCTGTACTTGTGTTTATCTATGTATACAGTTGGAGTTGGGTATAAATCATTGTATTCAAAGATTGATATGACCGTTTGTGAACTCGAATCGTTTGAATTATCAGTGCAGGGTTTTAAATGAATGTGAGAAGGGTGAGTCGTGGAGATAAGATTTGATTGTGACCACTTTGGTCTCGTGTGCTGTTACTGTTATGAGGGCGGATGTCACTTCCAGGCTACCCACACCATGAAAGGGTGTTTCTTGAGGAACCTGAGAAAGAAGGTAGATTAGTGTCGATCATAGAGACCTGGGAGTATGACCGCAGAGCCCAAGGGACAACTAATTGAGGCCGGTCACGCACGGCCTTTTTACGATAAGTTTTTGAAGTGTTAGCTCCTCCCTTGTTTAAAATGCCTTACCACCGAAGACGTAAATCCGTGAGGTAAGGTGGGGTGTGACATTTTTAGGGTCGACGTTTTCTAACCCCTTCTTTCCTTGTGAGAAAGAAGCATCACTGCACATGCTGGTTGTCCGAGGAAAACACCTTACTGTTGTCACACCCCTCTGCAGTCAGCAGTACGACTTCGTTCTCGGACCTATGACTATATTAAAACGTTTGTACGTTCGTTTTTTAAGCGAACGATTTGATGTATTCTTGTTTTTATCTTCTCCCATCAACTAATCACGATTTAAAAACACCAGATATATTGAGCGTTATTAGCCTTTACATAAAATAGTTACAGATCATCAATTAAATAATTACTGGCTTGTTCCAAACTTCACTTAAACGATTACGTAATATTTGCTTTTAGTTAGTTATCTGTGGCTCAAATGAAATATCTCTCTGCCAGACAAAAGACAAATATAGTGTGCAGAAGTTTATTCTGTTTTACTTTATGGTTGTCAGATGTAAATTTTAAAGTAGAGGATATTTATAGGTTAATAGTATTTGTTTTTGAAGCATTGCTCTCATATATATCAGAATTGCTGAGTTGGCAGTAGTAACGTTTAACACAATATATATAGATTAGTATACCCAATTGACTGGTGAAGTTGTTAATCTTCATCGATAAAGATATGACATTGGATAAAATAATCGAATGAACAATATGATTAGTTACAGACTATCTAGTTGGAGTCTGCGGGGCTTTCGTAACCAGTGGTTGTGAATGTTAAATGACATGGCTTGGAATACTTGTACTTTTTATTCTTTCTTTTCGAATTCTGTATCTATGCTTAATGTATTTTACAACGGCTAATACCGTTACTACTTCTACCACTCTGTCATATATCCTCATAATTTCATTTCACTGTGTTGATATAGTATGGCAACTTGAACTGATGCACACGTTCCAGATCCTTTGTTGTTCGTAGCTGACTAATGCAATAATTTCTCAGTAGTTACTATAAGTTTTTTCAACATACTTTTACAATGTTAGGAAAGTTTCCAAACATTTATTGAAATCTTCATTTAAACTGATGAAAGAGTAATCTCTTGTTCATCATATTGTAAACATAACACATGATTTTATTATTTGTTTACTGTATTAATTAAAAAAGAGGAAGAACAGGTTAAATAAGAGTGTATCCAACATTTCTGGTAAAGACCTATCTGCCTATTGGATTTGCGTACATTTACTGACATACAGACAAACTATTGGTCTAAGCTATGTTGATAGATGCAGACTTACTTTAGTTGGAGTCTACGTAATCAATAATCAAATATGTTGGGTGGCATAACCCAGAATCAGCTACACTAGTGTAGGTCCATTCACCCGTTATCTATTAGATCTTGGGTTACTACAGTTTTCCTCTATGCACAACTTTTCATTCTGTTTTCAGACCGTATTGTCAATGTAGTTTTTATTATTGGCGTTGCTATTTCATTATTTCGAACACTTTACAATTCGTCTTTCTAATTTTATCTCATCGTCCCGTTATGACTTTTGCTGCCAACCGATATCACATGTTAAATGCACTTATCAGAACTGTGATTATAACTTTTCTATCTCCATCTATAACCTAGAGTTCTAGACTCGACCATTTATACCTTCTGACCTACACAATTAACGCTGAACTAACGTAAGCCACACTCCTGTTGGTATGCCTATCCTCAAGTCCTTCTCTATTTTGAAAGAGGATGTTTGCAACCAAGCTTCTATCATTATTATATTTCAATAATGCAGACAGTAGCATCTATTTCTAATATTCATCAGCTTGCATACATGAATTACCAGACTGAACAGTATACAAAATAAGAAATGATGCTTTACATGGAGTATCATATTTAGAAGTACTTATATTTTGTATGCTAATGTAGCAGTCATATATGAACTAGTATTGAAGTCATGAAGAATATAGTGAGCACAACTGAATACATTGTATGTAGAATGATACAAAAAAGATACAAATAATAATAATAGTAATCACGCGAAAAGTAGTTCCAAGTGTTCGAACTTTTTCAACACTCTTTTTGTCATAATAAGTGTTAATATGGTATGGTAACTTGTGCGAATGCATGTATCTAGTAGACTCTACGTTGATTATGGCCAACTAATTGAACGAATAGAGTAGAATAAGGAAGGGATTTTGAGAAACAATACTGCTTATAGTGTTGTCAGATGATACAACAACATAATTATCATAACAAACACTGGATTTCAATTATTTATTTCAAATCCGAACTTGCTCACAACATGATTGTCGATTGTAAAAAGGAAGCGATGTATTCCACCCATGAGTTAATACAGTCAGTCATCTTCAATGTAAGATCTGACACTAATTTATATCGTGCTAGGTCACTACCACTGTGGGAAGGAAGGAAATTTCCAACATAATAAATAGAGAGGAGGTATTTATTTCAAATGCCAAGGAAATCTAAACATGGAATTTACATGTACAAGTGATTATAGAATGAATCAAACTGCATCACTGTGAACGGCTTATTGATATGTCAATAAATTGTATTGATACAGTGATTGCGAGTTATCGTCCTTGTTCCAATCAGGAAGTCTCGACTGTCCTCCATTGCTCAGAGCTCCAACCAATGACTTGATAGATTGATGTCGTATATATATATATATATATATATATATATATACATACTGATTTAATAGTTATTTTCTGCTTGTTTCATATAATAAAGTTACCTTCACATGATCTGATCACCTATATGTATTATTTTATGGATTATCAATTAATCAATAACCTTCATTGATTGAGTTTCATTACATTAACATAAATCAAGTCAAATGATTTACCATATATATTCACGTTACTTGGTCGCAACTATAATGTCTACATTCGTATGACACCTTAAAAAACCAGCAGCAAGAATCACATTACTATTATAACTGCTTGTGGGTCAATGCCTGGTTATATGTGTTGTTTAACAGTTGTTTTTATGAAACACTATTTGAATTATTGAATTAAATAAGCTTCATAAGTAATGGTGAATAATGGTGTGAAGTACACTTGGTTCGAGCCTTGGGATGAATATCAACACTGGCATATGGGTATATCGCAGCTGACGAGCTCGGGACACACCGAAACGTGCAATCCAAATTTCATGGTTGACCGTCATCCACCTTTTCTTAAAAATTAATTTTAACCTAATGGAAATGCTGAGGTATCCTACTTAGGATGCACATTCAATTTTTCTTCAAATCAATAACAGCAAGGTTGTGAAACTTTTAGATAAAATATGATTTTAGTATTAAGTCTTTTCAGTTCCACATTCGTATATCTTTATTGTTACTATTATTATTATTATTATTATTATTATTATTATTACTATTGTTCGTCTAGGTTTTACACGTCCGAACAATAATGCAAAAATAATTCAAGGTCATGAGACGCCAACTATACAACAACAACAACATCAACCAGCATCTGAGTTATCCAGTGACTATTTGTTATCGATTAAATCAGAATCATCAGATGTAATGATTGCTTCAGATTTAAAAAATAAACTACATTCATCAACAGTATCTCGTAAACGTGCACCTTCATTATCATTATCATCGTCATCATCATCATCAACAACATTATTATGCAATCAAGAGAATGTAATCAATTCATTGAATACATCTCATAAAAATGGTAAATTATTAAAAATTGATTCATCACAAATTACATTATCACCTAATAATGATAATAATAATAATAATAAAATAAAAAATACCACAATTAATAATAATAATAATAATTCATCACAAATTGCACCAATTGATCAATTAAATGAATATGAACGTCAAAGTTTATTTGATATAGCTAAAGCAGCAACAACTGTGATGCTATTAGCATCGAATTCCAATTCATGTCGACAAAATAAAGTGAAAGTCAAATTGCCTGTATCATCTATATGTAATACAAAACAATCATCTAAATTATTAACAAATTCAAAGAGAAAATCAATCCATATTAATAATAATAATAATAATAATAATAATAATAATAATAATCTATCGAAATGTAAATCATATCAATATGTTAATTATAGTACCAGTGGTCGTAGTCTTCGTCGACGTCATTGTAATATTAGTCCATCACAACAAGAAGTATTAATATCAGCTTGTAATAAGCATCAATTACCTTTGTCAACAGAAATTATGAAATCTCTTGCACAAGAATTATGTCTTCCATATAAAGCGGTTAGTTTTGTTGTTTCCCTTTCTTATATATATATATATATATATATATATATATATATATATATATAATTTGCTTATTGATGCATGTTACTCCCAGTGGAGCATAGGCCACTGACCAGCATTCCCCAACATACTCTGTCCTGGACCTTCCTTACCAACTCTATTCAATTGATGTTCAATCTTCTCGTGTCTGTCTCCAGTACTCGCAGTAATATATATATATATATATATATATATATATATATATATATATATATATAAACCCATAAAATAAGTCAATCGCAGCCTGAGCAACTCATTGGTGATAGTATTTTAAACTTTAAGACAGAATTACGCTGGTTCGAATCCAACAGAGAGCATCAATTCTCTTAAGATTTGTTACGCCTGCACGTAAACACGTCATTTTGATATGCTTGAACTATTACGAGTAGACCTTAGTCGGAATACGAGAGCGAGAATCCGGCGACACAACATGCTACTCAAATCCGATTATCTTATCCACCATATTGAGTAAAAATACGAAGACTTGATATGAAGTAGAACTTGTATTCTACAAGCATCCAGAAAGTACGAGGTCCGAGTCCAGAAGAAGACATGGATCCCGGACTAAGGATCCGTGTCCGGATCTAGGTCATAAAGCGTTACAGATAATGCGTATTTATACATTTAGGTCGAATAGTAAACAGCATCGATGTCTGTGACATTGACAGTTAAGACGACCAATAAGAAACAACATTGGAGCACGTGACATTGACATCTAGGACGACCATAAAATTGACCAGTAGGAATTAATCAATAAGAACTGACCAATAATTCTCTTAGGATATTGGATGAATATCCTAACAAGATTGTAGTTGTACGCCTAACTGTTAAATCGAAATAGACCTAGCTTGAGTAGAGTATTCGATTGACTATTACAAACCATTGAACATTAAAATATTTATTCTTAGTTATGTACGATCAATTCAATAGTAAAAATAGACATCATATCATCTTCATAACTATTTACCTATTGATCTATCATACTTTAATCTTATTTTTGGTTCTTGAAAACCTAATACATTTTTCGTTTGTTTTGAATTTCTCTTCCTCTCCGCATATCCATACACCAGATTTTAAGTTGGGTTCATAATTATCGAACAACTATGCAACAGGATAATCAGTCTAAAATTGGAATAATCTCAGATACTACAGATACTGAAGGTGATGTTTCTGTTGAAGAACCAATCGATAAATCACACGATGACAATTTTCCTCTTGAAGAACAGCATACATCATTAACAACAGCATCAACAACAATGTCAACAACCACCATTAAAGATCATTTAACACCACCTTCATCATCATCATCATCATTATCGTCATCAGATCGAAATGTAGATAAACAACAACTATCACATAATCGACGTAAACCAATTAATCCTACTAGATTAGCATGTGCAGTGGCTGTTGTCAATTCTCCTAATAAGTCAATTCATCCTGTCACATTGTCTAATGCTAATGAACATGAAAATTCTATTGTTCCAGTAACTTGAATATTCTTCCTTTGCTTTGTTATATATACATTGAAATTTAACTATTCACAATAATAATGCACAAATGTATGTATATGTGTGTGTGTGTATGTGTGTGTATGTGTGTTCAGTGTAATATTTTTTTTAAACAATTAATATCAGGGTTATTTCTTTTTCTGTTTTTTTTTTCGTGAAATATCTATGTCTATACATATAATTATGCATTTTCTTTTTTTTTTTAAACTATTGTCACTATTATGATTATTGTTCTTCTTATCCGGTGAACAACTGCTGCATACACTACAATCTCTCATCTAGTTTTTCTAATGTCCTTTTTATATATATATATACATATATATTTCATTTACTTATTTATGTGGAAACATGTCAAAAAAAAATACAATCGTTTTATTACCTAATTAGTGGTATTATGTATGTATATATGTATATATACATGTACATGTATACACCTCTATCCCTGTTCTTGTCCCTTTTCTCTTTTTTTCTTGTTCTCCTTCACGATTGAAAATCAACCTGTAATTTTTTTTCGACTTTTTCTAACAAAAAATCAGAAATAAACAATCAATCTAATCACAAACAGAGATAATGAACAAATAACATTTTTTTTCAAATTTTCTCTATATGTCATGTTTAATTGTTTTCTTGTGGTAAAAAAAGGGAAAAAAATATCTTTTTTCAAGACCTTTTATTATTATTATTATTATTTGTGTGTATGATAATGGTTGATATGATTCATTGCTCGATTTGTTGCCTCGAGTTTTTCTCTTCTTTCCTTTTCCTTTCCTTTTCTTTGTTAAAAAGACTAATCATTCAATCATTGTGTGTGTGTGTGTATAGTACTAGTAGTAGTAGTAGTAGTAGTAGTATTAATGGTAATAATAGTGGTTAGTAGAAGACGGTGGTATATTTTTCTAATGAAACTTTATTGTATGTATTTTTCAATTTACATATCTTGGTTGATTATTTTCACAGTTTTATGTTTAAGATCGTATATATGTATATGTATATGTATATATATACGTGCTTATTTTTTAATCCATAAGAATAAAGATTTTCAAATTCATCACCAATAAAATTGCACATTGAGCTTATTTTCTGTTTTTGTTTTATTGTTCTGTTTTTTTTTTTAATGAAGAAATTACACTTAATTTGTATATAGTATTTGGTTATTGTTAATATATTATGAGTAATTTATTTATTTATTATAATAACTAATATGAATATCTATCTATCTATCTATCATTTTGTGTTTTCAACTATTATGTAATGATTGATAATCCAGTCAAGTGCATTTGTATTTTATGTGTTTTTATTTTGTCGCCATTACTGTAGCAACTTTGTGCATATATATATACATATATAAAAAACTAATTTCTTAAATACTTTTTTGATATATATATGTATGAATGTGTAGAGATTTATTTTTTCTTCAAATGTTTCATAAATGGAGGGTATTATACTTAGGTAGTAATATTTCATTATTCTAGTTTTCTCCTAAAATATGATTTATTCGGAAGAGATAACGATATCGAAATTTTTATACCAGTTTAATTTCGGCTAACTCCATTGGTATAACGGTTGTATTAGAGAACTGAATATGAAGTGTAGTTGGATGTTCTTATTTCATACATATTATATACGTGGAAAAATGAGGTTTTAATTAGCCCTAGCGAAATGACACTTATTCAAGTGTAACTCATTTTTAATATCGAATAAATGATGCATGAGATATTTTTATGCTTGTCAATTGATATTACGAGTTCACCTTAGTCGGTAAACGAGAGCGAAGACAAATGATCCAGTGATACGATAGGCTACTCTAATCCGAGCGTCTCGAGGCCCCATCACGTAGAGGAAGAATTCTTTACAAGACGTAGAAAGTCTATTCTACAAGCAGCCACAAAATCGAGGTCGACAAGCACACTAATCGAGTTTATTTATACATCATAGAAACGTCCTTCGGAGAGGCACAAAAATAGCGTACTACAATAATACATCAACCAATGACAGCCAAGGATCTTCCGGGTGGGAAATGTATTATCAAGGTCAGCTGATCAGCCTGTGCTCGAAAACATTATATCCAAAATTAGGACCTTTATCAAGTGAGTTTTGGGGATCTAACGTCCCCAACAGACATATGAGCACAGATCGGTGCTATACATAAGTGTGGGTTAATTGCGATAAATAAACTTGTTAATCACAGTTACAATTTTTCTGTCTATACACAAGTGAATATAATGAGAAATGATAAGAAAGGGACTGTTACAGTGTACTTTTATTGTTGTTTTTACAATGCATATCTGCATTACAGGATGTTTTATTTTGTTTATATGATTATGGTTGAACTTATTGTCGGTTCATACTCAATGTTGGTCATATATCTAGAGTTCAATCAATGAAAAAAATCGTATGCACCTAGCGTTTTCAGGCTTCAAAAAACAGCATGTGTTGCTGAAAACAAGCCAACTGACGCACAAATGAACTTGTGTAACAGTAGACAACTATTTCAGACTTATCAAAGAAATCACTATTAGGAATATGATCGTCAGTAAGACTATTTCGGGAAAAAATGGCACTATTATTCATTCTCAATGAAGGAGAGTGGATCGATAGGCAGAACACTTTGGGAATCTTAGGTAGGATTTGGGAACTGGACATAATCCCATCTGACTGATCTCAATCATTGGTTGTCTAAGTCTATAAGAAAGGACAAAGTCCTTTTGTGACGATAACAGAGGAATCGGTCTAACTAATATAGTGTCCAAATTGTTAGCCTCGATAACATTTCGACGTCTAACTAGAGCTCGTGAAGAGCAGATTTGAGAAAACAAAACTGGTTTCCATCCCGGACGCTGATGTTTAGACCAAATATTCACACTTCTTCAGGTGCTAGAACACAAGCACAATCAGACGTTCGACAATAGTCGTATTCCTCGATCTTAAGACGACATTTAACTCCATCAACCGTGAGGTCCTGTGGCAGTGTCTGTCATTGAAAGGTGTTCCGAAGAAGTACATTAACCTTGTACAAGCTCTCTACTCGTAAACTAGTGGAGTTAGAGCTTATGAAGACCTGTCGTCGGAATCGATTATCGCGAGTGGTGTTCGTCACGGCTTTCCACTTTTTCCATTCTTGTTTAACTTCGTCGTTGACGTGATTTTAGATACGACCCCTTCATCATCTCACTTTTCGGGTGTTGAACTTTTACTGGGAGATCGCTTGTTAACTTAGAATATGCTGATGACATAGTTCTACTTGATGAAGATGCTGACAATATGCAGAGTCTTCCGATCACCCTAAACAACAATGCAAGCATATACGGGATGCATTTCTCCCTTGAAATGCAAGATGTTTCTTCAGGCTTCACTTATATCGCTACCTGAACAAGTGGTAGGGAATGAAGTAGTTAGGTGTGTTGATCCGTTCTCATATCTTGGGAGTCTCATCAGTACTGATGGCCTGGTGTCTGACGAAATCTCAGCACGATTGCAGAATGCTCTGTTGGCTTTTGCCGATTTGTGTCTCTTGTAGCGTTGGCACGATATCCGTTTGCCTAAGAAAGGACGATTATATTTCATTGCTCCATTCCACTATATGGGTGCGAGATATTGCCAGTAAGTAAAGAGAATATATGCATGCTATTTGTATCCGACCATCGTTGTCTTCTAAGCGTCGCTCATACATCCTGGGACAACCGAGTAAGCAATGCTGTCGTTCGAAGACACGGGTACTAGGTAATGATGGCAGGTCAATAGATGAAGTATTGAAACTTCACCAGTTGAGGTGGTTGGGACATGTGTTAACAATGCCCAACTACCGACTGCCTCGATGAGCGATGTTTTGTAGTTTAGGAGTAGGTTGGAACTGACAAGTGGACTGAGTCGTGTTGGTAGATATAGACTCTGGTTGGAGTCCCGAAGAAAGGCTGTATTAAACTTGTGTGATGTTGTCTGCCATGTTGTCCAGTGTTTCTTGAGTTTCAGTTTCATCTCGGGGACCAGAAAGTGGTGATCTGAGGATATATCAGCTCCTCTCCTTGTTCTCACATCCTCCATAGTCCTGAACTTTTTGTTGATGCAGATATGGTCGATTTGGTTCTGAATAATGTGGTCCGGTCAAATCCATGTAGCTTTGTGTTTGTTGAAAGCACAAAGGTTTGCGAATCTCCTACCGTTTTCGTTCCTTTCTCCCAATCCATGTCGTCCCATGATGTCCTCATATCCAGTGTTGTCCATTCAAACCTTGGCGTTCAGGTCTCTCATAAGAATCGTCAAATCCTTTGGTGAACATTTTTCGATGATTGACTGCAGCCTTTCGTATAATTGATCTTTAACGTCGTCTTTGTAGGCATTGGTATGTGCATTGGATGACGTTCATTGTAATGTCCTCTTTCTTTGTTTTCAAGGATGCTTTATTGATCCTGGGTCCGTAAGATTCCCATCCTATCAGTGCCTTTTGTGCTTGTTTGGACAGCGTCAGTGTAACACCTTGTGTATGTGAAGCATTTCCTTCCCCTGAAGCCAGTCTCAGTTGTCCTACCTGTGTCCAGTGTGTTTCACTGATGCCGAGCACCTCGAGGTTGCATCTTTTTCATTTCTGCCGCAAGTTGAAATAGTCTTCCAGTCTCCCACAATGTACGAACGTTCCATGTACCTAAAAGAATGGTTGCTCTGGTTGTCAGAAGAGGCATCGGCCTCGTGACTTCCGAGGGAACTCGGCTTTCATCACGCGACGTCATAACTCTTCTTCCAACTCCCAGGGCATAGTTAAAATGGTTTGAATTATTTTTCTGGTTAGCGTTTTTTGGCAAGTTAGTTTTTTGGAGGGATGGGGTCGCCAACCCCATGCCCAACGCTCCTCCTTTATCCGGGCTTGAGACCAGCAGTAGCCCCGAAGGGACTACAGGCGGAGTTATTTGTTATACCGCGAAGAAGTATATCGTGCGAATTGCTATAAGTCTTATTCTTACGCACTTGAAGTCTGATAGCTAGAATATGTG